CTCCCTCAGCGAAGTTCTCTCTGATAGGGTTGTATCATTCCTTAGTTTAGCCTCGACAATACTTGACGGTTCCTCCAAGAGCACGTTGGTATATAGACTTTCAACGTCAAAACCAATAAACTTATCTGAAGGATCTAATTTAACGTTTTTTAGAATATCTACCAAGTGCCCGGAGTTTTTCACAAACAAAGAAGTTTTACCTACAAGGAGAAATCTACTTAAGCTGCTGGTTGGAGAATCTCTTGTGATCGGTCTGAGTGGTATATTATCTTTATGGATTTTTGGAAGTCCAAAAAGATGTGGTGGTTTGGTGTGATGTGGAGTTAACGTGGTTCTAATGTCATCCGGGATATAGCGTCTGTATTTAGAGAGAGATCAGTAGATTTTTCCTTCAATCCTCTTAGTAGGGTCACTAGAGAGTAGTCTGTATTTTCCTTTAGTAAGGGTCTCCTCGATTTTTGATCATATTCCTGCGTATTCATTATAACTGTGCCATATACTGCTGGGAGCATCTTGACGTTTCCATCCTTCTGCAAGTTCTTAATGGCTCCTTGTTCCTCTTTGGTTATATTCCTCGCCTGTTTTCTTGTTTTCTCAAGAACTGTCCGAACTTTCCACCCCAGTTTCTATGGAGCTTATAATATCCAACGTTGGTGCCCTTTGGGGGGCAAGGGCGAAGTTGATTTCTTTGCTCAATATTTGCTCCTCAATACTGGAAAGGTTTCTTGAAGACAGATTTACTATTGTCTGCTTTACTTCTTTAGTGTTTTCTGGTTGTTGGCGTTTTGCAAATTTGAGGAGCTTCCTCTCGTGGTTCTTCCGAAGACCTTCCCTAATCTTGGCACAGGATCTATAAATCTTCTCAAATATGGGCTTGTGGTCTTCTTCCCAAGTCAGTTCCTTTATTTCTTCGAATCTCTGTTGGATGTCATTTAAAAGCACCGATTTCTTCCATCTGTGGTAATTGATTTGGGATCACATAATTGCTCGACTAGCGTTTTCTAGAATGCGTCGTGCTCTGATTCCTTGTATAGGCGAAGTTAAGTGGAATCTTACGGGAATGATGTATTTGTCCCTCGCCGTACATAAAAAGGTGATGTGGGCTTCCTCCTTGGTTAACTTTTCAACGTTTGCTTGAAGGTGGTAGATACTGATTCAGTAGAAATACTAAAAGGATGTCGAACTTCCATTGTCTTTATTTTCAATTTATACAACGTTTCGGACAGTTGCATCACTACCCGTTATAAAGTGTAAACTAAACTTAATTCTAAGGCTACACGGTTTATATACTAGGCGACGGCGGTCATCCATGACGGAGTTTGCCAAATTTTTGGTATATCCACGCTTGGATTGCTAGTGATACAACTGTTCGAAACGTTGTGTAAGTTAAAAATAAAGACAATGGAAGTTCGACATCCTTTTAGTATTTCTACAGAATCAGTGTCTACCACCTTCAAGCAAAGGTTATGTGTTTTTTTTTCATATTTTGATTGCCCCATATAGAATTGTGTTGTGACGCTACTGATCCAGCTATTGCAACGAGAATATAACCACAGACTAAGGAGACTTAATTAGTTTGACAAATGAGACTGCGCTTATTCAGGGTGTCCCAAATAGATGGTTCCAATAACAACTTCTGAAGATATTCAAATGGAACACCCTCTATTTTTATTCAGATATCAATTCTAGGACAAAAAATTAGGTATTTTTTAATTAGATATTACATGTTTTTACTTCTTTTAAAGATACAATACTCCAGATACACGAATAAAACCTATGGCTAGCAATAGAGGGTGTTCATTAATACGTGGAAATTTTGAAAAAAATCTACTCTATACTACACACTTTAACATATTTCATAAAACTTTAGAATTAATATTTAAAGAAACATTTAATAGATTATTACTTAGCTTGATTGAAAATATCTAATAACTAAAATACATAATTATAGTTTATAGGCTAACTAAACAAGGTGCAAATAGACATAAGACACAAAAGACACAATAGACCAAGCCAATTTATTTTGATTATTTTTCCCTCATAGTGGCTTTTCTTGTTAAATTTATTAATTTTTTATGTTTGCTTTTGTCTGACTCAGCTGACTGTTCTCACATTAAACCTATTATCCGACATAAATAAATCATGTGACAATTTTAAATGTGCATTTTAGAGAATTTACAGAATTTGCTTACACAGAAATAAAAATTATAAAAAATCAACCATATTTGATACAAGAGATGGACAGATATAACATATTAAGTTGAACACCAACAGGACAAAGAACTCGGAGTCATTGATAAATTTCATTTCACCTTTGTGGCATATTGAGGGTCAAAATGAAATAGTTCTTTCAACCATATAAACATTTATTGATTCTGCAGTGCAATAAATACAATGAACCGAATATTATTTTACTCGTTACTCCCAAAATATAAATGATGCAGTCCTCTGTAGCGGCCGTGTCCACTACATACAAAAAGTGGCACCTGGTAAAGAAAGTAGACCCAGATATAACATGGTGAGAAGAAAAACAAATATTTTTAACTTTAAAATTGCCATCTCTTTGCGCTTTTTTGATTTTCAGCCAGTAATATTAAGCGTCACTGTCTTTTTCTCTATATCAATGTTATTGGATTTCTTTCCTTAAACTTAAGATGTTGTGAGGTTCGTTTTGAAGTTAAAGAACTTTATCAAATTAATTTATGAATTTAGTGAAAAAGGGAAAATTTCTCTCATCTTTTTAAATATTTTATTTAATTTTCATTTTAGGTGAAATATTAAAAGCGTACGCCCCTGGCTTTAACCAACCAACAAAAAATAATTCTTTAATAACTCGAGAAATCCATCATTGTAAAAATTTAAAAGAAATAATTTTTTGTAGGTGCAAGGTGAATTTGAATTCAATTCTTTTTGTATTATTTCAATTGTCGCTCAATTACGTGCAGGGTGATCAGATAAAGTTACATATTTGTTTATGCTTATATTTTTGTTACGTTTTTAAATATCCCTTTAAATGGCGAAAAATGAAAATGTGTTTATCCGATACGCGGCGTTGCGATGTCATTCACCCTGTATATGTTTTCGGATAGCCATTTAAAAGACGTGTGCATTCCTGCTCCACCGGTATACTTTCCCGTTGTACATAAAGTAAGCATTTCTCAGGCAGTGTCATGACAGACCATTATGTACGGCGGAAGATCTTCGTTTTGTTCTATAAGCAGCAGTGCCTCCTCTACTATCCTTGGGTATAGGGATTTGACATCGAAGCCTGCCATAATGTCGTCCTTATCGATCCTGAGAGAACTTAAAATCTGAAGAATCTGCCTTTTCCACTATGGACTGAAGTGCACGGGCCAGATGTTTTTCCAACTTGCATACTGGTTAGTTAAAAGCGCTTACGATTGGACGCAGGGGAACCCCGTCCTTATGGATCTTTGGGAGCCCGCAGAATTTTGGGCAACGACTCGATTTTTCCCTCGGAATAAGTTTCTTCTTTGTATCCTCGTTTATTGACGAATCGAGAATTTTGCACTTAGTTGTTTTGGCATTTCCTTTGTCTGCTGGCATTATCATAATATTTTCGTTTTTGTTTAGGTTCTTCAAGGCTTGCATTTCTTCTCTGCTCAAGTTCGGTTTAGGTGGTTTTGGCGGTCTTAAAACTCCGGCGACATCTTGCCTAATTAACTCTGGTGGACAGACTTGCTGCAACTTGCATAGTTCAATCCTCTATTCGGTACGCTGACTTCTGTATTGAATTATTATGAACTGTAAGGTTTGTATTTGGCACTTATCCTGACTTCTTGGAATATATATAAAAATAATAAAATATAGGGCGTTTTATGTAATTGAAATAATACAATAAAATTAAAGATAATCTTACTGGAAACAACTTTTGTATTCAAGCATTCATATTGAACATAGCCTATGTTCAATATGAATGTTTGTTCATAAAAACTGCCCTTTTCCTAGAAATTATTACAAAAGGCTTTATTATATTATATTTTACAGTTTTTTATTGTAGTAAATAGCAAAATGATTTGTGACGAGTCGTTTAATGTTTCAACTCTAAATTCTTTGGTTCATTTCTTGTAATTTTTGCTGTGAAATTAAACACACACATGTTGAGATTGCGATATTCATTCGTGACCGTCTATTAAAAAGACCGACGATACTCATTTCGTACTCTTTTTCCGCAAATCTTTTCAAATCCTGCACTCTGAAAGTACTCATTTTTTTAATTTTATACTCATTTGTATTGCTAAAACATTTTTTTTAGATTTGTTTATTAATTATTTAAAATTATTTTGACAGTTATATTACATACCTCTTTTTCTAGCAACGTCAAAATGACATTTGTGAAAATAGATGGATATATCTGCCTCTCCCATATTTGTGAACGAAATCCCCATCAAATGTCAACATTTGATAAAGACACGGTGTTGTTTTAGATTTAGATTGCTTTTATAACTTGGTAATAATATACGAAAACATTTTGGGAACAATTAATAGGTTCCCAGGTTTTATAAAATGACCAATCGAAAAGTAATTACGATTAACGACAAACGATAGTTGAAACATTAGCTTTTATAATACTTTTAGCTAGATTTCATAATTTGTTAAAATTTGTTCAACTCCTTCTTTAAAGGTTTTCCATTTAATTAATTAACAATTAATTTACAAAATGACCAATCGAAACGTAATCATTATGATTAACAACAAATAATAGTTGACAGGTTTGGGTGTTTATGAACGCTGAGTATTTCGCGAAGTTTATAATTGCTTTTATAATACATTTAGATAGATTTTATATCTTGTTAAAATATGTTTATCTCTACCTTTAAAGGTTCTACTTAATAGGGAAACATTTTGAAAACAACTAATAGGTCGCCAGGTTTTATAAAATGGCCAATCCAAACGAAACCTTATGATTTCCAAAGAACGATAGTTGAAAGGTCGATTTTTTCTGCTGAGCCTAGATTTTGCTGGCGCAATGAACGTACCTGTCCTATCAACGATCCAATTTAAGTACGAAGTTACCCTGGTGTTTATTCCGGGACTATTCACGGGGCAAGCGAGCCCACGGGATATGACCCCGACGAGGTGCAACCTTTGGGTGTTAGGATCCGTCCACAGCAGCGGGCCCCCGGAATCGCCGATGCACGCGCGCAATCCTTGAGTAAGTGTACAAATGTTTTCGCTGATGATCTGATCTCTTTGTTGTTGCGCGCACTGCAGGTTCGAAATTACAGTGATACTTGCCTCCCTTAGCACGTCCGGAATAGGCATAGTACCGTCCACACTACCCCATCCTAGTAGAGTAAAAATATGTGAAACAAGTTACAAAGTCAGTTACCTATTTATAACACGGTGGTCGTGAACACAAATGAATATCAGGAAAAGATTCAAGATGTTCTTACAGACGGATCATTTCGTCAACTTAAAGAAGGCTTCCTCTCATGACTCTAAAATTCCTCGTCTCTACGGACTCCCAAAAATGCACAAACCAGAATTACCCCTTCGACCTATTGTCAGCACCGTTGGTTCTCCAACATGTTCTCTAACAAAATACCTAAATTCCTTATTAAAACCCTTAACAGGGAAAGCTGATAGTTTCGTACTTAATTCTTTCATGATTCATGGAACAATTAAAAAACATTACATTAGATACACAAGATATTCTGGTTAGATTTGGCGTAGAATCTATCTTTACTAAAGTTCCTATTCCTGAAACTCTCAACAAAAATTCAGATCTATTAAAATCCGAGAATCTGGAACCAAACCTTCTCACCCTAATTAAAAAATGCTTGTCTGGAACATATTTTGCTTATAAATGTCAAATTTTTTAACAAACGTCGAGAACAGCAATGGGCTATCTGCTTTTTACAAAACTTCTGGATTCCTCCTGCGTCGGTTTTTGCTTAGTCGACGTTTCACCAATCATCCTATTGGAGGATTCGTGGATGATTGGCGAAAAGTCAGCAATTTCGACTAAGCAAAAACCGACTCAGGAGGAATCCAGAGGTTTTGTAAAAAGCAGTACAGTAGCCTGTGGAAGGAATTAATTGGTTATCCACTGTCACCAGTCATGACACTGTTGTTATTTTACCATTGAACTAGAAACTAACTATAACCTTCCATTCTTAGATATTCTTATCAATAGAAAATTAGACTTAACATTGACTCATTGGGTTAACAGAAAACCTATGCACACTTAATTGTCAGATCACCATTCGGCACAAAAATCACGGGTTATCAACTCTCTTCTTCACAGTGCCGTAAAACTCTCTCAGTCCGAGTCATTGAACCCAGAATTAAAACCTTACCTCTGCTCTTCTCTAATAATTTCCACAATAAAGATATTAAGCCTTCCATAACAAAATACACTTCATCACAACCTTCCAGTAGCAATGAAGCCGAAAGCAATCCCACATTTGCCACTGTTGTCCTTCATTACATTCCAAACAAAAATTCTAAAGAAACATAAAGTCGAAACCAGATTTACCACTTGTCCAAAAATCTCTCAACATATTCGATCCGTCAAAGACAATTCGATTTGAGATGCCAAGACTTCACAGCAAAGAGAAAGCCTTTATTTTAAAAATTTTGGATTATTTCACTCCTTACTTGAGGCTGTACCATTTTTATGATCGAGTAATAGAATGTATAGGATGGAACCAGCGATTGTCAAATTTAAAACTTATATTTAATGATTTATGAAACTAAGTGAACATGTTATTACTTTTTTAAACAGGAATTTAGTTAACTGTGGGTAGTAATTTCATAGGGTAGGTAGGTGTAGGGTAGTGCAGAACAGGAACAGACCCCTTAACAAATGGTCTCTCACGACGACTTTATATAGAAGGTGTAACGGAACAAGGTATAATTAATTTAATATTTTATAGTAGCTCACGAAAAAGGCATTTTGCACGTTTAGCGCAAAAACGTCCCATTTTATAACATTGTCCTTTTCTATTGACATTCCATCAATTGCTGCATCCAGATCCCGCGAGACTCACCTAGACTTTCCAAAACGGAACCGAACGCCGTTCGGAATTTTTGACGATTCGGACATTCGACAATTTGTGGTATAAAAGCTGACATGATAAAATGACAGTTTAAGAACTAGGAACAACAGTTTCAATAATTTACAAAACAAGATTACTGTTATTACTATTACATCCACTTTCAATTTTTTTAGATCTAAACTAGAGGGTTTTTGATTCTAGAAACTTACCTAATATCGTAACAATTTCACCAACGAAATCGTAGTTCGAGTAGCTAAATGGTAAGCATGCGGGGCCAACAAACAAACTAAACTCAATTTGCTGTTGAGTTTGAACGATCGCGATGTCATGGGTCAGCGGAACTGATTGGAAATTGGGGAAGATTTCGTAACCGCTGACCATATAAACTGCCGAATAAGAGTTGTTTCCTAAAAAAAAAAAAAATGTTTGGCGCTTTTCCTCGATTACGGTACATAAAATAATCAGAGTAAAAAAAGTTCACACTAGAGCCTCTTTATTTTAATAAAGTATTATTATAAATAATAATAATATTAATAATAATATACTTTAGACTTTAATGTCTAAAGTAAAACCTCTATTATTATTATTATTATTATTATTATTTTGAGGATTAGGAATCTGCTAATTAATCAGACATATAAGGATAAGTCGCGAAAATTTCCATATTCTAGGGGATACTCCCTTCAGCAGTATTTTGTTCACGAGGTCTGTGCACTCCTCAATATAATCCTTCGCAATTGTCTTTATAAATTCAGGAGCGGCTTTGCTGTCCTTTATTTTTCCAAATCCAGTTCTTGGTTCTTCGACTGATGAAGGTTGGTACACTTCCTCTATTGTGTACAGTGAGGTTCTCTTCAGCCAACCATTCTGTAATTCCCTTCTCCTATCTTCTGGTTTAGGGCTCCACAGAAAGGATTTAGCATTGAAGTCTCCTCCTAAAACCATCTCGTCTGTTTTTCCATATCTTTCCTGAGATTATGCAGAAAATTCTTAAACGTGGCCCTTACGAAACCGACCCCTGCTCCATTTTGTAAGATCTTGATCTGGCCTCCTGGGAAATAAATCGCAGCATTCATATTTTGATCGTAAATCCATTTCCCACCTTTCAACTTCTTCCGGTTCGGCTCTGCTACCAGGACAATATCCACCTCAGGTCTTTGAGCCTCTGTCTACGTTTCCTTGCAGAATCTTGATGTCCTCATATTGGCCATGGTAATGATCCTTCCTTCTTCTGTCTGTCATGTTGTGTTAGGTGTTGCTTCATTTTGTTATTTTTGTCTTGTCTGCTTCAAAAGTTTGTCGTAGACAGGGCATTTTATGTTCCACGTTCGATATCCCTTTCCTCCACAGCTGCTCATTTTTGCATCCTGCAGCTTTGTGTCATTCATCTCCGCATCTGTAGCACAATTTCGCACGATTTTGCCCGTTGCACGTTGCAACATTGCAAGACTGGTATGCGCTCCTTGATATTACAAGAGCTCCATCCGATCTTGACCCTATGCGGTTTTTTTAGGGTTTCTGAAACCTTCACTGCTACTGTTGCAGCCTGAGAGCTTCGAGAATATGGTCTCGTAGACTCTATATCCCCTTCGATACCCTCGGTGCAGTGATAGTTGCCGCGTCTATACCGTATAATTGAAATATCGTTTTCGACTTTAGCTTCTATTTGCGTATGTAATAACTCGGTATTCGCCTTGTTGCTTCTCATAATTAATAAAACTTAACCACTTTAAGTCCCTTTTAGTTGCTTTATTTCAATATTGTCCTTATGGCTAATATTGTCTTCATTTCCCTCAGTACCCCAGCATATGTTTTGTTTCCTGCCTTAACAATTAGGACATCTGTGTCTTTGTCCTGCTTAGTTTTCTTTGTAGTCATAACCGCGCTTCCGTTGATTTCTTGTTCCGGCGCATGCAGGCTTATCCCTATTTTGGTGTAGATGAACACTACTTCGAGCAGCTTTCTATTTCAGTTTCATATCGGTCGGGTATTGGCATCCATATTTTATTCGTTCCCAATTTTTTTTTTTCGTTTATCGCTCACAGATCCCAGGGGGCAAAGCCTGAATCCGGTACGTTCACTTCTTGCCATTCTACCAGTGTTTACTGAGGCAGTGAGGTATGCTACTTCAGTAGTATTTTTTGGATCGCGCAACAACGTGAGTTCGGGATATCTCTCCTTAAAAATCCTACTGATTCCCTTAGTCATTTCACAGACTTCGGAGTATATCGCCAGTTCACCTTCAGAACTTTTTGATAGTGGGTTTCTATTCTCAGAAGATTATCTAAGGATTATATTTTCCTCAGACTCCCTTATGAGTTCTGCTTCCTTCTCCTCTGTCATGTTTACAGTTTGCGTTTCTGTGTCTGCCATATTATTTTCATTGCTTCTTTGTGTTAAAATTTCTTCTCTATTTCACTACTCTTACTACTTCGGCCTTTTCCCAACCACATGTGTATCTCTTTGCCTTTGAACCTGCTTGCTATGCTGCTTATCCTTACTACCGATCTTTGATCTCCTTTTTAATACTTATATTTGTTTGAATGACATGAATGAACTTTGAAACCTGGACATCCATATCTTCAATAAGTTTTTTGATTGCGAGCCCCTCATTTTATGTCTCGTGTCCGACGAATCGTATATCATCTGACGATATCGCATTACCTGATGGGACGTTGTCTTCGCCCACGAACACCGAAAATTCACTGGGGTCTCTATTGTTCACGCAATGGCCGGCCGTCAACAGGAAAAAGTCAGAGATTATGCTAGCCCCGCAGAATAAGTCACGAGTGCCCACATGTAGCAGTGCAGCCATCGAAGGGTACACATTGGGCCCCGTTTCTTGTCCACCCATGATCGTAGCCTAAAAAACGAACGTTTTGCAATGTGAACTATAACTCGATTCATCGATTTTTCGAAAGCAACTAGAAACTTAATTTTGTTTTGCAACGCATGTATTCGTTCAATTGGTCAATTCCTATGAAACACGATAAGTGTCCGAAATTTGAAGTTATCGACTTCAATTTTTTTTTGACATTACGAGATTTTGGAGCGGAGAAAGAACTAAGCTGTGATGAGGACAGCTCACTTCTTTTACATTTTAGTTTTGATGGAGTGCTGTTTTTTTTCAGCTGCTGTTATAATTTTCCAACATTAATAACTTTTGGAGGGAAAACCAGACCATACAAAATTAATTGCATTTTGAATCCCGTGCTTTGCTCCGACAATGCGGTCTTTGGGTTTTTTATGGCTTCTATTATTATTATATAAAATATACAACAAATACAATCTGTCGTAAAGTAAATACACACATATCTTTACCGGAGTCAAAAATAAACGTAAATAAAAGGCCTCCTAACCTATAATCCTATATAGCAAAAACTTTTTTTTTATTTATTAACTTAATCATTGAAAGCATTAAAGTTCGATTAACCGTTTGCTTCCAGCCACAGTTGCAGTCCTGTGAGTTTTGTGTCTCCAGTTTTTCCGGTTTGTCCTCGATAGCGGTCATGGTACAATGGAACTGTCCACCGGGAGAGTTAAGCATCGAAAACAGTTCTGGAACAAATATATTGCCATGGTTTCGTCATGGTTTTTCCATAAACGACTTGAAGAAGAAATCTACTTGAGCTGCTGGTTGCGGGAGGTCTAATATTATCCGGAATATGGCGTCTGTATTTAGATGGTGCCCGAAATCTAGATAACTATTTCATTTCTTCCTAAAAGGTAGGAGGTAATGTTTCGGTGTTGTTGCTTTTATTGTTTTTTTTTTATTTAGATGCTAGAATTTAGAATAGACAAATTAAAACCCCTATGAAATGATTTTCTCCGAAATGCAACCCCACGAAAGCCTGACTTAATTGCTTTATTTTTCTATGGTCAATATATAGCCTTCCTATTTATTCAAGGCCAGTTACCGAGTGTGAGGGTGTTTGCCCGGGAAATAGCGGAAAACGATCCGTTTCCACAGTAATTATGAGCGTCGCCAAGAGTCTGATTACCGGTTGACGATACGGTCAGCTTGTCACCTTGACAATTTGAAGACTGCAACAAAAATGGTACTCATTGAAAGAAATCTGTATCTACAGATTAATTTTTATTGTGGTTGATTTTAGTGGTGTTACCAACTTTCGGCAGTGAGACATCGGTACAGGACAAGCTAATTTTGGTACCGATCACACTTTTTGCCACCCATCTACACGACGAACCTCCACTGTAGTTTTGAGGGTATTCTTGGTTGTGGATGTAGTACTCCTTCCCGACTATCATTTCCTGATACACATCGCAATTAGGATCGATTGCTGCGTACATGGGCACCAGGAAATTCCATAGGGCCGCCGAAATCATTGCGTTGCTTGAGAAACTCCCTAAATAATAATACGTTTAGAGTAGGTCGTTTATCTTGGACGCTGCCTTATCTCAGAAACTATAGGGAATTGAGTCAAAATATAAAAACAAAAATTAATGGAGATATTACAAACCTTCAATTTATTTTGATGTTGTATAATACAGGGTGTTTCATTATTCGTGGGCGGTTATCAACTTTTTTATTTTAAACGGAACGCCTGGTATATTACTTCAATTTTGAACTCATTTTGCGTATAATGTCCTATACCTAAGTCTGACGTTTGCAAGACGTAAAATATCTGCCACTTTCTTCATTCGGAGACATTTATTGTTTCACTTGAGCAGATTTTGTTGTAAACAAAGGAGCTGAATAACGGATTTCATAACAAATTTCCATACATGATAATACACTACGCCAAAAATAAAATTAAAAATGAAATTAAAAAAATTGCCAAACAACTTTTTTCTTTAAATGGAAACTACCTATTTTTAGCATCAAAAATTGAGGCAATTTTATATAAATTTTACACTCTTTTATATATAAAAACAAGTCTTGCAAATAGTTTCTTGTTTTTTAAACAACTTTTGCGTTTGGCGTTTTATCCCCAAAAGTTAAATGAAAAAGTTAAACTCCAAAGGTTAAATGGTCGGTCACTCACCCATACTGCTGTTGACAGAATACTAACTTTTACTATAGTTTTACGACCTTTAAACTTTATTAAATTCCTGCTATCGCGTATCAATTAATTTTTAAGGGTTATTATTTCTCCAAGTGCGATTATACGAAACAATACCTTTCGATTTACATGTTAACGTTCTATATATACAGGGTCAACAGTTGAAGGCTATAAACTAAAAGACGGGGCAGCATTCTGATGAATCTATTGACGACCAAGTAGGGTTGTGGAATTAACCGGTAAATTGACTGGTCAATTGACATAATGATATCGCATAATAATAAATATTATTATTATTATTATTATTATTATTAAAACCAATTATGCGCATTGATAGTTAGTAACATAATACATATAATAAATATTTAGTAATTGCTGTGAAATAATACACTGTCCAAGCGACGTTTAAATACAGACAAGTTCCGCGCACACATAACATCTGGGGGTAAACTGTTCCAATAATCGAAAGTCCTGTTACTTAAAAAATACTAATATAATATGATCTAATATAAGTACTAATATAATATAATCTTGTCCATAGTTTTGGCTTCAGATTTGCTCCTCTGCCAGCAATGGAGAAGGCAAATCTGAAGCCAAAACTATGGACAAGATACGTTGATGACGTATTTGTTGTATGGCCTTTTGGCAAGGAGGAGCTTTTGAAATTCCTAGATCATCTGAATTCCATTCACCCAAGGATTCAATTTACAATAGAACTTGAAGAGGATAACAGTGTGCCCTTTTTAGATGTGCACATCACAAGGACCGAAGATGGACACTTGGAACACACTGCCTATAGAAAACCAAGACACACTAATAGATATCTGAACGCTAAATCTCATCACCACCCACCACAGATACAGGCAGTGGCAAATACATTAATTGCTTGGTCCTTCAGGCTCACAAACGAGAGGAACAGAGATGAAGAACTGAAGAAAATGTCTTCGAAAAAACGGATACCAAAGGCGCATCATCAGCAAGGCAATCAGTAAACAACAACAGCAGCAGCAGTGCAGGACGAGACCCAACGAAGATCGATCGCTGTCCTGCCATACATCAACGGGGTTACTGACAAAATCGGCCGAATATTACTAAAACACGACATATCAACGGCATACAAACATGATCATACCATCGGAGCAATACTAAGAAACCCAAAACAAAAAATTACTCTGGAAAACCAAGGAGTATACAGTGTAGCATGCGGATCGTGCAGCCCGACGTATGTGGGACAGACCAACAGAAGGATTTCAGCCAGGCTCGAGGAACATCGTTTAGCCATAAGAAACAAACAAACAACATCTGCTTTGTTTCAGCACCAACATCAGGCAGGCCATAAAACTGATTTCGGTACTTGCAAACAAATAGGTAATATTCCTGATTTTAGGACTAGGATTATACGAGAGGTCATCGAGATAGAAAAGTCTGAATACCTGAATACGAGAGACGACGCTCTGCATTTATCCAATACGTGGAGAACGATAATCAAACAGCAGAGCGATACCCAGCAGCCAACGGGGCCATCGCAACTACGATCGGGCGAAATTAACAACGCGACAATTCGGGGGGCGGAGCCACCTCCCTCCCGCACAAGCAGCACCGTTACCATCTCCGGCGCAGGGTATAAATACCACACGCACCGCCGGTAACCTCCCAGTGTTCGAAGTGTTTTCGGAGCGCGAGCATTGAAGATGCCAAGTGAGATTTTGGCGAAACGTCTGCAGGATTCCAGTCGGAGTTCAACAAGCGAACGGATGATATCCCAGCTTATAGTGTCATCACATTTTTCCGCATACGCACTGACTTCAGCGCCATAAGTGCAGGGAGTAGTTGACTTTCTATAAGAGGGGCGGCATTCTGGACGCCCTCTAGAGCGGCCTGGGAGCACAACGGGCCCATCTGCCCATCTGGTGGCCTAAGTGCTTGGACGCCCGCGAGGGCGCTCCCCTTTAATACCAATACTAAATAATACTACTCCTTTAGCCCAATACTGTGCACTGAGTCGGGATCGATCAGGGTCGTTCCGAAGACTCCAAATCTTGCCCATGTCAAAGCCCCTTTCATATACCACCTGCACTCCGGGTCGTCTCCAACGCCTAGCAAGCAAAGATGCCTCCTAAGCCTGCAATGTTCTGTGTAGGCCCCTGTTAGTGCTTTTCTGGTCAGTGTAAGCAGCTCGCTGGTCCGTGAGAGGGCGGGCCCGTCCATGATAAACGCCTGCCTCATTTCTGCACACTAGATCGGTGTGTAATTAGCTATTTTACAGAAGTGAGCATTACATTATGCCTTAATTTATTCTCGTGGCAGGTGGAGGGTCAAAATGAAAAAGTTTTTCCAATCTTATAAATATTTATTGAGTCTACAGTGCAATAAATACTTTTAATCGAACACTGTTTTACTTATTGAGCAATTTTTCACTATTATTTATAAAATAATAATGTTGCAGTCTTCCCCTAGCGTATACAAAAACTTGCACCTGAAAAAAATAGACGGCTTTGGTATGAACGAATAAAAGGATATTCGGAAAGTCTGTCTTTTTCATAAAAATTGAGGTAGGAATTTAATTTTCGAGATATGCAATGTCAACATTTTATTTATAGGCTTTTGAAGAGAGAGAATGTAATAAAAGGAATGCGTCTAAAGTCCATTTGCAGGAATACACGCAATAATTGCACATGCCAACAAAGATTTTTTTGAATGTCGTATTTATATTTTGTCATATTTATTATTATATTTAATTAGATCATTTTGTTCCTTTGTTGTTACTTTTCAGTGTCATTTTTAAGGTAAATGTTCTTTTTTTATTTAGGAATGTTGTTATTTACCCTTACTGGAACGCTTCGATTTAAAAACCCGATTGCCGAACCGTTTTTGGGTAAAAACAGCTTAGAGCTTAGAGAAAATAATTAAGTAACGTACCAGTCCTGGAAACGATCCAACTCAAGTACGAAGTAACCCTCGTGTTAACCGAGGGGATATCGCCTCCGCACCCACGTCCCTGGGATATGATCCCGATGAGGTGGAGCCTTTGAGCGCTCGTGTCCATCCACAGCAACGGGCCTCCAGAATCACTCTGGCACGCGTCCCGACCTGGAGCATATGTACACACCTGATCGCTGCCGATGTTCTCATTCTGAGCTTGGGAGCACTCCTGGTTCGAAATCACCGTGAGACTAGCCTCCAGGAGGACGTCCGAAGTGGGCCCGGAAAATTCCACGCTGCCCCATCCTAGTACCAGCAAAAATACAGTTACTTAGCAGGTATTTATTTACTTATTTATTCTACAACAACAGAGATATCAACGTCAAGAGCCCAAAGCAATATCCACGAATAAGTTTACGATATGCGGTGAACAAAATAAGTTTAACCCTACAGTGGATATACAGGGTGGTCAAATAGTGTGTCGAAATAATATTTAAATTTTACTTGCAAATACACAGGGTGAATCATAAATTCGTAGGAAACCAAACGTATATTTTTTTTAAACGGAACAGGAAGGCTATGGTGTATACTGTATACTATGTTTAACATTATATTTTCTAAAATAGTATATTCATTTATCCTATACTTGTCTTGGAGTTAGTTCGACTCGTATATACGGGGCAAGTCAAAATGAAAAATATCAATTCTCGTGAAAAAAATTAATGACACAATCTGTACATTATACTTCCGTTAATTACTCCTATTAATGTTCTTTCAATTATAAGAAAATTATGAGAAAACATCGCAATAAGCCAAAAGAAATAAAATCTAAATAAGCAAATTTTTTATTTTGTGAAAAAAATGTTTCCTTTTGGAGTACATTTTAACTGCAACAATTTTTGAGGATTTGTGATTCTGATTAGGGTAATTTGTTCCATTTTGCAATATCAATCTAAATAAATAAAATACAGAACAGAATAAAAGAACTCTTGAGAATTTGATGAATGTGTGAACGAGGAAGGTTAATTTCAATTCACTAATTTTTGTAAATTAAGCAATTTTTCAAATTCAAAGTTAAGATAAAAACCACGATAATTATTAAACAAAAACCTTAGGGATTCTTTCACTTCTTGAAGTTGTTGCTATTAAGCTTGCAGGAACATAAAAATTGTTTTTTTTTTTTTAATTTTGATTTTTAAGTTTTTTATTAACAATCAAAAATAAAAAAATAAAAAAAAGATTATAAAAAAATATTTTTTGTTGACATCTGTATTTTTTTGATTTTTGATGGTTTAATGGTATATAAAAATATGTTTTTTATTTTTTTTACTACCACTGTTTAAGAAATTGTTATAAATAAATACATTGTTTATGAGCGAATCAGAAAATTTTTTTTGGTCATCTATTTATTGAAACAAATTATGATTTTTAGAGAAAAATGGATCCCTAAAAAAAATATTTGTTGATAAAAAATGCATTTGTTAATTAACAATAGTTTTTTGTCAGTAAATTTAAAAATTAAGGAACCGTTTTTTCTCTAAAAATCATAATTTTTTTCTTAATTTCTTATTTGTTTATTTAATAAATAATTTGTTATAAATATTTTTTTTATTTTTTTTTTCAATACTCAAAAGAGCCATATGAAAAAAAATAAAATTCAAATTATGCAATGACTTCTAGATTTAGTAATTTTTCTCCAAGTCGATGCAAATATGAATTTTATTCACTATTAATTATAAATTAAATGGCAGTAAAAAAATTAAAAAATATATTTTTATATACCATTTAACCATCAAAAATCAAAACATTGCAGATGTCAACAAAAAAATATTTTTTTATAACCTTTTTTTATTTTTTAATTTTCGATTGTTAATAAAAAAATTAAAAATCAAAATTTTATAATTTTTACAATTGTGATCTACTTGTAAGCCTAGTACCAATTACTCCACGAAGTGAAAAAATTCCTTAGGCTTTTGTTTAATAATTATCGTGGTTTTATCTTAACTTTGAATTTGAAAAAATTACTTAATCCATAATTTATGAACAAGTTGGAATAAAAAATTTTATTTAATTTTTGTATCCGAATTCTACATTAATTTTATTATTCCATATTCTTAATATTTAATATGTTTAAATATTTTTTTTTTGTTTTTGTGTCAGAGTAGCGCAACGCATGTGGAAGCCAGACCACCGGGTTTTCGCTCATTTTTCAGAACTTAGTACTGAAAATACCAAGGAAATTGAAAATCGTTATTATGCAATAAATCCGAAAACAAGTTTAGAAGGATTCAAGTATTTTAGATCTAAACTAGAACGGTTTTAATTGGGGCAACTTACCCAATACCGTAGCAAGTTGACCAGCGAAATCGGAGGTTGAGTAGCGGAACGGTAAACATACGGGGCCCACGTACAAACTGAATGTTATTTGGGTTTGTGTTTGAAGGATCGCGATGTCATCGGTCAGCGAAGTTGGATTGTAGTCGGGGAAGATTTCGTATGCGTTAATCAGATAAATCGCCGAATAAGGGGTGTCGTTTCCTAAAATGTAAATAAAGGTGGACTTTTTTAACTACGGTAATCTTACGTTCCATATCGTCCAGCATTTTCAGCAACAATGACAACTTTTGATTTTGAATATTAATAGTACTGGCCAAAAAAAAACGGGGTTTGGTTTAAATTGAAAAAGTCGCAATTTCCTATACCAAAAAGTGGAAAAAAAACAACATTTACCATGCAGAAATACAGATTCTCGAAGTTCAGTTGTCCCCAATTTTTTTTTACACACATGTCTCAAGTACAGACTAATTTTATTTTTAAGGTTACCAGCCCCACCCAAGTAGCGCTAATAATTGTCATATACCTTACTATATAACAACTTTTATTACAACTTGTTTATTTTAAAAATAACTAGTAAGTTTATAAAACAATTGTATATAACAGATGATGATCGCCCAATATAATTATAAACTTGCGTGCATAGAAATCGACCAATTGTAAACTTTCGACTTCAATTTATATATATATATATATATATATATATATATATATATGATGACACTATATTCCGGGATATCATCCGTTCGCTTGTTGAACTCCGACTGGAATCCTGCAGACGTTTCACCAAAATCTCACTTGGCATCTTCAATGCTCGCGCTCCGAAAACACTTCGAACACTAAGTATTCGAAGTGTTTCAAGGGGGTTACTGACAAAATCGGCCGAATATTACGGAAACACGACATATCAACGGCATACAAACCTGATCATACCATCGGAGCAATACTAAGAAACCCAAAACAAAAAATTACTCTGGAAAACCAAGGAGTATACAGTGTAGCATGCGGATCGTGCAGCCTGACGTATGTGGGGCAGACCAACAGAGGGATTTCAGCCAGGCGCGAGGAACATCGTTTAGCCATAAGAAACAACATCTGCTTTGTTTCAGCACCAATATCAGACAGGCCATAAAACTGATCTCGGTACTTGCAAACAAATAGCTAATATTCCTGATTTTAGGACTGGGATTATACGAGAGGCCAGCGGACACCTGAATACGAGAGACGACGCTCTGCATTTATCCAATACTTGGAGAACGATAATCAAACAGCAGAGCGATGCGCAGCAACCAACGGGGACATCGCAACTACGATCGGGCGAAATTAACAACGCGACAATTCGGGGGGCGGAGCCACCTCCCCCCACGCACAAACAGCACCGTTACCATCTCCGGCGCAGGGTATAAATACCGCACGCACCGCCGATAACCTCCCAGTGTTCGAAGTGTTTTCGGAGCGCGAGATTGAAGATGCCAAGGGAGATTTTGGCGAAACGTCTGCAGGATAACTACTAAATGGTTGGAGTATGCCATTGGATTCTACGGAAAAAATCGTATACGTTTCTTAAACTCTCCAATAACTTACAAGACAACGGAGATACAAGGGTGGTCCCACAATTGATAGTTTTCGATTTCACCCTGTATCTCAAAAACCAAGGGGACCATGATAATTTTGTTGACGGCATCTCTAAATCCATAAAAAAATAGCAAAATTTCGCATAAACGACAACTTTTTACCTTAGAAAAATACCAAGATACCCCATAAAAGTGCCCAAAATGGGTACGGTGTGACGTCACACCGGCTGCAGATCATTTTGCTTTGTTTGAATATGCCCTAAGATGATTCTAACTTTAATCATTTATTGTGATATAAGTATTGCGATTAGGGATTTTATATAATTTGTTTTAGTAATTTTTTTAAAAAAATGGGCTAGTTCCCTATTTATTATGGATTAATTAAATTATTTGGAAAGAAATAGAAGGCTTTTAAAGTGTATTGATCGCAATACGCGGATACTGAGGAAATTGCATTACCTGCCGAAATGTTGTGGTCGCCCACCAACAAGGCCAATGTGCTTGGGTCTCTATTCTCCACGCAATGGCCGGCGGTCAACACGAAAAAGTCAGAGATTATACTAGCCCCGCAATATAGGAAGCGAGTATCCAGATTTATCAGTCCCGCCATCGAAGGGTACTCGTTGATTCCCGTTTCTTGTCCCCCAACGATTCTCGTCTACAAAACGAATATTTTGCAACGCGAAAGTCGAAATTAACATCAATTACAATAATTTTATTGATGTGAGAAATAATCGGAAACATTTATAGAACTGCTGGCATAAATATTATTTAGTTTTATTTAAATTTGGGGAGCTATATTTCAATCCAAATTTTCCACCGTTTTCGTTTGGTAGGTATACAAAATGTATCGGAACAATTTTATTGAAAATTTTAAGAAAAAAGATGAATTTTACTCAAGACTAAAGTCATAAGTAAAGTAGATGTGGTGATGTCAAACAGAAGGTATATATTATATAAGATAAAAAAAAGCAAAACGAAAATCATAAAATGAAAAAGAAACGAACAATGTGTGTTAACAAAATGGTATAAAAAATATAATTATACAGTAGTCGAAAATTTCATGAGAGAACGAAGATTTTTCTTCTTGTTTTCAGATATTTTGTTTAGTTATTGAAATCCCAGTAGCAGCGTTTATCAAATGTTCCACAATTTTACCCTTCATTCAATTAGAATAAAAAATAATTTTCACAGTTATTTATTGGTTTATGACAGCTATTTCAGAAACACCGTACCTTTAGCAAATACAAAACATGACAGTATTCCGATCTCTGTATATACACGTGGTGTTTTTTAATTGACTCCCAATTTTTGTTAATCTTGTTCGAAGTCTAACTGATGACGCTCAAAGGAACACCACAGGCCTAATTGGCACTTTCTTAAGAAATTCCTATTCGAATTTTGCGTAGTTTAGGCGGAAATTGAGGTTATGTGTTTTTTTTTCATATTTTGATTGCCCCATATAAAATTATATTGTGGCGCTACTGATTCAGATATTGCAACTAAAATTTAACCACAGATTGAGGAGATGATGCGGTACTCAATCAAATTTATGAGATATTCGAGGTTTAAGATAACACTCGTATAAATTCTTGTCTAGGTTGATTGAAAATGCCTAATAACAAAAGTAAATAATTCAAGTTTATAGGCTAACGAAACAAGGTAATAAATTTGAAAAAATAAATGTATAATACAAAAAAAACAGCAAAGAATAACTAAAAAAAACTTAAATACTGTAATATATTTTCAATATATTGTCCATCTTCTGCATCTAGCGTTGGAGACAAATTTAAATATAAGATAAATTAGAAATTTACCCTATTTTTGGTCTCAGAATAAAAATGTAGTGTGTTCCATTGGAAAATATTGAGATTTTGTTAATTGCATTCGCCAAAATGGCACCACCTATTTGAGACACTCCGTATAAGCTGAGTCGCATCTGTCAAACTGAGTAGTGCATCATCTCCTTAGTCTGTTGTTAAACTTTCGTTGCAGTACCTGAATCAGTAGCGTCACAATACAATTTTATATGGCGCGATCAAAATATGAAAAAAAAAACACACACACATAACCTCAATTCCTGCCTAAAGTATGCAAAATTTGAATAAGAATTGCCTAAGAAAGTGAGCTTTATAGGGTGTTCCCGTTAAAATAGCGAAGTTGATGTCGGAGGCACATATTTGAACACCCTGTATCAACAAAATTATAATATATTAAATCTTCAGGAGAGCCTACGAAACTTTGTTACGAACCTTTTTTAATATCTTTTGATATTGTCAAATTTAAACGTACTTTTCCCTTGAAAAGTCACATTTCAGAATATGCAGAAATCGTTATGAAGAATAATTGTTTTTCGTAAAATTTGTATAAGTCTAAATAAAATCGCATCAGTCGCACGCCATTTAAAATAACGTAACGGAAGAACGTAAAACATTGTTTTACCATTTGCTTCCAACCACAGTCGCAGGCCGCTAAGTTTTGTATCGCGGGTACTGCCAATTCTTCTGGACTGTCCTTGATAGCGGTCATCGTACAAAGAAACTGTCCACCGGGAGAGGTAAGCGTTGAAAACAGTCCTGAAACAAAACGAAAATTAACAATTTCGTTTCGTCTTTAAGGAACCGAAAAACCCTTTAGCTAGAAGTGTCGTTACTAAAAGAACCCCGAATTTCCATCGACTAAGAGAGCTCGTTATATAACAAAATGGTCAGAGGTGCAAAGGATCATGAATTTAAAGAAGATGCCTCCATATTAATTTATTTTTTTTTTGAGCAACTCAAGCGAGAATGGAAACACATTCAATTTGGCAACCATCCTTAGAGTATCCTTAGTTTACCGTTTACCTAAAATTTAGAGGTGCGCTTTTCAAAAGTAGATAACTTTTTGATTTCTTCTTAGAACGTAGAAGTTAATGTTTCGGAGTTGTTACTGTTCCAGCTTCCATTTACCATCAGATAATGTATCGCCAAAGCAATTTAACACTAAATGACCCAATCCTCAACGAATCATAAAATTAGAGAAGATGTCTTCATAGCAAGTTTTTCGAGCCTGGTGTCTTGCGTGGACATATTCGTCATCCATCTGGGTGATGAATAAAGAGCTTAAACTAGTATTTAAATGTATGATCGCTGTGTTCTTTTTTTTATGTCTTGTACCTAATCGTAGTCTTAACATTGATGGTTGTCTATTAAGATCGAAGGGAAAACTATGTTTCATGAAACAGTTTATAGACCTCCAACATATAACTTACTTGAATGTCTTGTTTCCTTACCGCACTTATTGCTCAATTTGATTTTTATTATCTTATTACGCTTATTTTCTATTTTCAAATACTATCACCAACAGAGCCAACTCTGGTTACTGGTAAATCTAGTTCGCTAGTTCTACTGGTCGCCTCTAATATTATGAGTGACTTCTCCGATCACTGTTTTGTTTCTTGTAATCTTAAGCTGCAGGAAGACCGCCATCCAACCCTTTTTAGGACCTTTGGAAGGAAAGAAGGTTGATGCCACAAACGTACAAGTTGATTTTCTTACGGATAATATGGATTATTTATTTGAAACTATGCTCCGTTAGAAACTGTTAGAACTAAGAGATCCCCAGCCCCTTGGATTACCGAAAACTTTAAATTCTTAATGAAACTTAAGTCAGATATTGCTTTGAACAAGTATAGAGAATTGAGAAAACTTGTGACCTTTTCTGCGTGACATCCGATATTTGGCAAGTACATTTAAGGCTGATTCTAAGTATTTTTGACGTACTTTGACACTCCAAGTGCACAATGTTCCTACTTTAACGGCTGAAAAAAATTTAAGCCAACCTAATTGGTTTAATGTTGCTTTTGCTGTTGGCGATATTGATCTTGGGTTTGGTCCCTAAGTTATTCCGTTTTGATGAAGTTTACTAACGTTCAGGACTCACAAAATATTGATATCAAAATGATTCTTTTGACTACTTTGTATTTAGTCGATCATATCACTTTCCTTGTTAGCAAGTGTCTTGCCCGGAAGTTACACCTTCCAAAATAAGAGTGTCCATGTGACATTAACGATTTTAGACCGATCAGTTGGTTGCCGCTTGTCGGGTTTCGACCTCTTCACAGCACTACTTCTGCTTCAATTTAATTGGGAGCAGCTGATTCTAAACTAAACTCTTGTCTCATACTCTTGGATCATTTCCTTCTCTCAAGTAAACTGAAATACGTCGAGATAATGCATTTTTAAAAAATATTGTTTGTCAGAGACACCAAACAGGTGTAATATTGATTCAGACGCTATTGCTTTGGAAATTGGCGATGATACTCGGAAATGATATTCATAATCGAGACACCTCGCATTGTTTTACAGAGTTTGTGTATTTTGATGACAATTGTGGTTTTGGTTCTTGTGAATGCCGCCACCCTTGTATTACAACTTAAATTGTAATATTTTGATTTTTAATAAAGGCAGTTTATTATTATTCAAGGGAAGTAGTATTTTTGTGTTATTAAGTCCAACACAGACAATTCCAGTGAGAAGTCCTTTCAGTTTCAAAACAATTATTGAACTGAGGTGGCTTTTACCTGATGTAAATCCATTTAACAAAATAATTAATAACTAAAAGTTCAGATTTTCGCGAAAGCATATATATATATTCACATGACAATTGTTTCGACCACACCAATGTTCTATTTATAAATTACCTGCTACTATATATACAGAAAAATGACAAACTTTAATTAATGTTGTTGTGAGAATTTAAGTTTAATAAAGGAGAGGTATTTAAATCTAATTGATCGTTAAGCGATACATTTGAACGTCTCATTTTGTTAATCTCTAAAATTGTCGTCAAAAATGTATTTTGCTGTGTTTAAGTGTGTAACGTAATTAGAATCCAGGCTATTGTTTTTAAACGCTCTTTTATACCTGTTCGTTCAATACAAATTTTACGACAAGATCCGCATTTCAATCTGTAGACACCTGATTTTTGAGATTTTGGACATTTAGTTTTACTGTTTTTAAAAAAAAAAAATTCTATTGTGTCATTAGTTCTGAAAGCTATTTTTAACCAACATTTTGGGTTCTCCTATGCATCTAATTGTTTTAAATTGTTCGTGTTCTGTATTAAGTTTCGGAGAAATAGAGTTTACTGTTGTCTGGATTTGTTTTTTATTAATAATTTTATCTATAATGGACTGATTGTAGCCATTGGTCGGTGCAATTTGTTTAATGATATTAAGTCCTTTGTTGTAATTTTCTGTTGAGAGTGGCGTATTAAGCAGTCTGTGAATAAAAGAGTGAAATGCAGCCATTTTGTGTGTATAAGGGCGATTTGAGCTGTGATGTATGACTGTGTCCGTGCGTGAAGGTTTATGGTAAAAGGAAAAATCTAATTTGTTTTGGTAACTTCATAAAGATCTTTTAGCTAGATCACTGTTAAAATGTATAATGATATACCTGATGCTATTCTTGTATTTGTGTTAGACGGGTGTGTATTTGGTTCTAGGGAAGTAATATTTTTGTGTTATTAAGTCCAATTCAGTTTCAAAACATTTGGATTATTCAATTGCATCTCGACAACTTTAATTGTGAATTTAGTGGGATTTGTCGACGCAAACTGATTAATTACGATCAACCACCGGCGCAAGAAGAATCCAGGAAATAGTATTGCAGTAACCTGGAAAAAATTATACGGATGAAAATTAATGAAATGATTTTCTCAACAATACAACGCCAACCCGACTAACGCCTAAATTCCCTGCTTTATTTTTGCAGAAACTGCAATTACCTTCTTACAAAACTTCCGGATTCCTCCTGAGTCGGATTTTGTTGACTCTAACTTTCCAACAGTTTCAGTTAAGCACCGAAGAAGCCAACAGGATGATTGGCCAAACCTTAGTAAGTTTGACTCAGCAAAAACCGACTCAGGAGGAATCCAGAAGTTTTGCAAAAGGTATTACAGTGGACCGGTGGAAGTTTCTTTAAAAAAAAAAACTCAAATTACCTATTGTAAGAGTGTTTGCCTGGGAGATAGTAGAAAACGATCCGTTCCCACAGTAATTGTGTGCGTCTCCAAGAGTCTGATGACCGGTTGACGATACGGCCAGCTTGTCGCCTTGACAATTTGAAGACTGCAACAAAAATTATGCTACCTTAATCAAACCTGTATTTTTCCACTTTTTCATGAAAAAAAAAATGCTTTCTGTTGTACTTGGCAGATTTTTTTGATGATTTATTCATTGCATTTTTTTTATATGTAACCTTGGGCAACGAGACATCGGTACAGGACAAGACGATTTTGGTGCCGATCACACTTTTCGCCACCCATCTACACGACGAACCTCGACTGTAGTTTTGAGGGTATTCTTTGTTGTGGATGTAGTACTCCTTCCCGACTATCATTTCCTGATACAAATCGCAATTAGGATCGATTGCTGCGTACATGGGCACCAGGAGATTCCATAGGGCTGCCAGAACCATCGCGGTGGTTGAGAAACTCCCTGAAAAATAACGTGTTCAGTACCCGCTTACAGAGGTTAACGAAAGTCACCCACAAAACTTTTAATACAAAAGTTGTATAATTTTTTACTTTTTAGATTAACACCCTATATGTTTCCTGTTATGGCGAGAGATCGCTTTCTCCTGATTTCAAATTCAATTCAATTATTGAACGTACGGTGGGACATATTGTGTCGCTGGAATTTAAATACAGTCAGTCAAAAAAGTCTCCGTAAACATAGTAGTTTTTCATTTTTCTGTTTTAGTTTCTTCTTCTTCTCTTGAGTCTAGTGTATCTCAGGAGATGCTCCCGCCCAATTGTAGAAAACACTATTCTATTGAGACTAAGGAAGTTATAAGCAATGTTTATTTAACTCTCATTGAACGTGGTGCCAGCAAGCATCTTTAGAAGAAACGGCCACATGGACGAAAATTCCAACATCATTTCAGCGAGGAAAAAAAGAAGCGACATTTTCTCTAGTGTAGATGAAAGTGATCAAGATATAATACGGCGTAAAATTTACCAGTTATACGAGGAACAAGGCGTGCCTACATTAGATATCTTAATTAGGAGACTTGAAAAATATGAAACCGGTGTTAAATGTGGCAGAACGACCTTATGGAAGTGTATTCAACAATGTCTAGAAAAAATTAGGATTTACAGAGAACAGCAAAGGCCAATTATTTACTTGGATGAAACCTGGGTCGACACTTATGATATCCCAGGAAAGGGTTGGTTTGGTCAAAAATGTATTTTTCTATATTTAAATGTGTAGCATAATTAGAATCTAGACAATTGTTTTTAAACGCTGTTTTATGTTCGCTACTGCGTTTCTTGAAGGATCTACCTGACTATCCAATATAAATTTTAGGACAAGATCCGCATTTCAACCTGTAGACACCTGAGATGTTTTCACTCTTTTATACACAGACTTCTTAATACGCCACTCTCAACAGAAAATTACAACAAAGGACTTAACATCATTAAACAAATTGCACTGAACAACGGCTACAATCCGTCCATTATAGATAAAATTATAAATACAAAACAAATCCAGACAAATTTAAATACCTCTCCATTATTAAAGTTAAATTCTCACAACAACATTAATTAAGGTTTTACTGCCATGAAGATAATGCTTTTTGTATTAAAAGTTCTTGTAGTTGACTTCCGTTAACCCCTGTAAGTGGGTTTGCAAATATAAAAATTGATCCTGTATAGTGCAAACGGAACAAAACTAGTCCTGATTTTTTTTTTAACATCAGAAGTGCTACTATTGACATATGTAAATAAAAGTTGATATAAAACTGTATTTTTTCTCAAAGGGTTCGTTATTGAAGTTTGCAAAATATTTTTTTATTTTAATCTCACAATGCTCTATATTCGCAATTGTGGAGGTCTTCTACTATGTCATCTACTAATTCAACAAATTAAGCAGGGTAGAGCAATTAAAGTAAATCAGTGGTAAACCCATGTAGTATAATTACTAAAAGAAGACACTTAAAGGTACAATAAGGTGTCAAAATGGGCTATTATTGTATATAAGGAAAGTCTGTGGACGCATTATGTACCACTTCAAAAAGTGGTGCTTTTTGAATAGCGGTATTGCATTACATACTTCTTAGTAAGGTTTCCAAATGCTGTTCACTCTAACTCCCAAGTGTAATTATGAGTTCGGCTATTGGTGGTGATAACGTATCCGCTCATTACTCAAATGCAAATTGTCTACCTTATTAGAAATATTTATTAGGTTTAACTGCTAATAACACCATTGGTTTACATTACTTTTAAGTACATGTTGCATGTACACCGTAATTATGTTGGTCTCTTAAGGAAGGCGTAAGAATTGGGTAGTGGTACTCACTGCTAAACTAAATGATATTTGCGAGACTTACTAGTTAACCTTTATTTGTTATGATAAATTTAATTTGCAAATGAAAAAACAAAATACCTTTCGGATACAATTTAACCTTATCTCATAAGTACCTATATCCTCTGCGACACTCATTGTTTTGATAGAAACTTTCCAAAATAACCAAATTTTTATCGCATTAGACGAATTTATTGTATCTACAGCCAGTCGCAAAAAAAACGTTGTTACAAATAACTAATCCTTTACGTTATCTTTTAAACTTAACTAAACATTTGCTAATCCGTCATTTCTTAATCAGACTTCAACGACCGAATAGCAGCAATTATTCTGGAAAACTTTAGTCAGCACTTCCGAACGTTGGCAAATATATAACATATATAACATTTGATTTTTGAAAAGTTCCGTGCATAATAGACTTTTTTCACGCTAAAGAAAACGATGAGTAGAGAAAAAGTAAGCTTCTTAGTAAATATTTTGTATTTCCTTTATTTCGGGTTTAGAATTTAGTAAAAGTCGACCCAATTTCCCCCGACCCAATTCTGCCTTTTTTTGACTATTAATTTAGTAATTCATTTAAATATCTTAAAAAGTACAGATGATATTAAAAATAAACAAGAACGTAAAAAAGTGTGCAATGTGTGGGATTTATTAAAAAAATAGTTTCAAGACCATAGGCTTGCACCGATAAAATTAAAATTAAATAAGAAGAATAAGAAATTTAAATAATAATCATTCGTTATTTATCTTGTTTTATGTTTTGTTATTTCATTAAAACTGTAAAAGTAAAAAGAAGAATCTTCTAATATTTTATTCTGAAGAACACTAACTAAAAACAGTGCAGTGCCCACCTAATTAACCAAAATATTATTTATTTATAGGCAGTCAATGCCATGTTTAATACATAAATTCTAATGAATGCTTCTTTTTAAAATGTATATTATTATATTGCTGAGTGCCAGTGATCAATCACTAAACTAAAGAAACAAGCAAGATTTCTTTTAATTTTTGAAAAAATATCGATCCATTTAAAAACCACCTCAACCGCTCTAATTCACAACGTTCAAAAAATTAACTTGTCACTATTTAAGGCACTAACTAAACAATCCACTAACAGTTAAGAAGCTTTTAAAGCTCAAAAAAATTAACTGACATTCTTCTAGCGTACATTGTACTCACCCATGTTGCACCTTACGGGAAACTAAACTTTACGATAGTTTTGCGACTTTTAAAATTTATCAAATTCGTGCTAAACGAAAAAACGGAAACCGTTAAAATGCTCGGTAATTTTTAAATTTTAGAAGATAACATCCACCGTCTAAATTATATATAGTGGCATGTTAAGTAAAGCTACTCGAGAAACCCGTAGGGTCTGTAACTGACAAGGCTTTATCGCATTACAATTAATTTTTACCGATAATAATTTTTCCAAGTTCGATTATACGAAACAATACCTTCCGAGTACCGCTATCTAAAAAACGTTTTGCGTTCAGTGTAAACAAACATCGATAAATCGCCAATAATGTTGCTAATGCTCTAAGCTAACCGTAAAGGTTGATCACCAATTCCATTCTCCTAAGGTTTTTAAGAAGAAGTACTTTTTGATGATAATTACAATCACCATTTTGTGGTTTTATTGGATTTAGACCGAATGGACCCAAATTTTTATTTTATTTATTTATTTATTTACAACAGCGAAAAAATAATCTAGCTCATAGAACTGGGAATATAGCCTCGGATGTTGGACGGATTAGGGAACAAACGACAACGGCAAGAACACGGAAACGAATCATAACTGAAGAAAATAATCATAAAACCGATATTTGTGCTCTGTCGGAAACCAGACGCAAAGGAAAAGGGACCACACAATACGAAAACTACAATTTATTATATAGTGACATAGAGAAAATCGATAAAATAACAAATTCTGGAGTTGGATTATTGATAAATGAAAAATTTGTACCACACATAACTGAAGTTAAGTACGTAAATGACAGAATACTAATAGCAACACTGAATATTGAAAGAATATCAACTCCCAATATATCGACCTATGCATCAGATGCCGCCAAACCAGCGGAAGAATATGCGATCAAATACAAGACGAACTTACGAGGGCGGCGCCAAAATTTCCCGGCCTGAATATGAAAGAAACAAAGTAGAGAATCAGCGTTTTATTATTTTTCGATATAATCCCCCTTAACTTCAATACACTTATTACATCTCTTTATTAACAACTCAATCCCTTTAAAAAAATATTCTTTTGGTTTGTCTGCAAAATGAACTAAAACAGCCTCTTTTATCTCAACTTCGTCGTTAAACCGCCATCCACGTAAGTCCATTTTCCAATACCCAAACAAATAATAGTCGCTGAGGGCCAGATCTGGACTATAGGGAGGATGATCTATCTGTTGGAGCCCACACTCTAAAATGGCAGCTTGTGCAACACCAGCAGTATGGACAGGTGCGTTATCGTGCAAAAGACGGACTGGTCAGTTTTCCTCGACCTTTTACACGTATGCAGTAATGTTGCGTAATATTTACCATTGACAGTGGTATTAGTTGCTTTAAAATCTATCAAACGAATTCCTTCACAATCCCAAAAAATCGTGGCCATCACCTTTTTTGTTGACTGGCAAACTCTAAATTTTCTTGGAGGTGTTTCACCCTTACGACGCCACAACATTGATTCTTTTTTCGATAGAGGGTCATAATAGTTTCCCGTCACAATAGTTTCTACCACAGGCTGCGGTTCCGACCCACAGAGTTCCAAAAAAGACCGCGCACACTTGACACGGCGTTGTTTTTGAATATCCGAAATGTTTTTAGGAACTTGCACTAACCTTATGCATACCTAAATGATCATGCAGAATTCGATGAAAACTTGTATCAGAAAGCTTAGTAATTTCTGAGATTTCCTTGACCTTTAAACGTCGATCACTCAATACCACCTCTTCCACAATCGCAACAATATCTTCCGTTACGACCTCCACTGGTCGACCAGCTCTCGAATCATCTTCAAGGGACTCCTGCCCCATTCGAAAACGCTTTGCCCATTCTTTCACTACAGAATACGAAGGAGAACTTTGGCCGTACACACCATCCAGCCTTTCTTTCATAATTTTAGGTGCTAACCCTATTTTTGTCAAAAACTTTATGACTGCTCTATACTCAATTTGCCACATTTTTTCGGAAACGTCTTGTTTAAAATGGTGTCAATAAAAAACTATTTGACGGAAGACTTCTGCATGGAGCTGCATCTATGTCAGGCCGGGAAATTTTGGCGCTAACCTCGTAATAACATGCCATCTAAAAACAGAATAATTATTATGGGAGACTTGAAAGCAAGAGTGGGAAACGAAATACTAGTTAGAGTAAAAGAAAAATTTAATAGAGATGTAGTAAACGGCCGAGGTGAAATTCTAATAGAATTATGTGCACACAACGAACCAAGTATTAACAACACGTTCTTCCAACACAAACCTCAACACACATATACTTGGGCAGATTCAAGAGGAAGGAAATTCGTAATACATTACCTAATAACTAACAAAAATATACAGCCTACGAACATACTGGATGTTCGAGTACTATCCTCAGCCAACAGAGAATCAGACCATTAAATAGTGGTAAGCAAAATCACATGACAGAGACCACCCTTGATGAAAATTCAACCAGAACACATAGAGAAAACTAATATAGAATCACTAGACAACTAACACACAAAAATTTGATTACGCTCAATTTCTGAAGTTTAGATGTGGCTACGAACTTTTAATGGGTGTTTTTTTTATGTATAGAAATTTAAGTTGGCATTACTGTTCAAGATGGCGACCGTTTTAACAGCTGTCAAGTGATTTATTCTCATCATGAATTGCCAAACCGTCTGAACAACCCTTGCAAATAGTGCAATTTTATTTCGAAAATAATGGTTCTGTGCGGAATACGTATCGCGCACTACGACCATTTTATCGTCGACAAAATCGTCCATCAGAGCAGTTAATTCGATTAACCATGGAACGTTTTCGCACCACGTTTACTCTTATTGATAACTCGCATTCCCAGAGACGTCGTACGGTGCGTACAGAAGGAGCTATTGCTTTATGGAAGATTTTGCGGAAGGATCTTGGTTTACGTGCTTACAAAATCCAACTCGTGCAAGAATTGAAGCCAAACGACCATCAAGTAAGGCGTCGAATGGGCCCAAAACGAGATTGCCGTTGTTCTCGATTTTCATAAGCGAATTTTGTTTAGCGATGAAGCGCACTTCTGGTTGAATGGCTACGTCAACAAACAAAACTGCCGCATTTGGAGCGAAACACCGTTACATCTAGAAAAACTGACTGTTTGGTGCGCTTTGTGGGCTGGTGGAATAATTAGTCCGTACTTCTTCAAAAAAGATGATGGTCAGAACGTTACAGTCAATGGTGATCGGTATAGAGCTATGATTACTAACTCTTTCATTTCTGAATTGAATAAAAATGATGTCCAGGAGACGTGGTTTCAACAAGACGGCGCAACATGTCACACAGCTCGTGCCACAATCGATTTATTGAAAGACACGTTTGGTGACCGCCTAATTTCACGTTTAGGACCTGTGAATTGGCCTCCAAGATCTTGTGATTTAACACCGCTAGAGTACTTTTTGTGGGGCTATGTAAAGTCATTGGTCTATGCGGATAAGCCACAAACGCTTGACCATTTGGAAGAAAACATTCGCCGAGTTATTGCTAATATACGGCCATAAATGTTGGAAAAGGTCATCGAAAATTGGACGTCCAGATTGGACTACATCCGCGCCTGTCGTGGCGGTCATATGCCAGAAATCATATTTAAAATGTAATGCCACAAAATTATCTTTCGGATAAATAAAATTCATGTCAATCGAATAATCCAACGTTTCTTTATTACAACTTAAAGTTCTATACATCGAAAAAAAGCACTCCTTACTTCCTTGCCAAATTTGAAGTCGATAGTTACATATTTGTCACCTATGACGTTTTTGAGTGTAGCACAGAATATCCCACGTACAATATCTGCAAACCTTGAATACAAAAGTTTTAGCCGTCCATACGGACTATATAGTTTAAGAATCAGTTTTTTGCAAATTACCGACGTACCCTGTACATTTTCAAAAAATCATCAAGGATAAAGGTTTTTGGTCCGAATATTGCGCGTCGTTTTTTTAAAAAATTTTGACCTTATTGACCTTATTGCTTCCACTTTTGGACTCTTGACACTGTTCAGTGTCAATCGTCTCGATTCACTTACTCTATTAATGCCTTCATGCTTGGTTCGTTATAGTTATACTTCTTCAATATCAGCAATGAAGACGGAATTAGAGTTATCAGTTTTATACGATGGGCGAATATTATAACAAGTGCTGACGTAACCGCAAAATACTTTAATGCAGTATCACACTTGTTTTGACATAAAATGAATATCGCAAGTAATTCCGATTTTATCAAAGGCCGATGATCGCATCCTGATTGGAAGCCAGATTGCTTGTTATGAAATCAGGGGAATCAATTTTTCTATTGCTGCTGTTCCTTGATGTTCTTCCATGTAATAACCATTTCGCTAGTAGTAGTTAATCTAATGCTTAGTAGACTGATTAGAATGATCCGTCATCTTTTGTTTTAGAGCCTCGAACCACTGATTCAGTATACGTATCAAAAAAAGTGTTACAGGAAAAGTAGGTTGGATAATTACTAACTGTGTTTTATGGGAGCATACATCTTTACCTGATCTATGGTGGGCCATAGCATATATGTTCGACGTCACCATAAACGATGTCCAAATAATGCGTGCCTTTTTTAAATAAAATCACGTCAAGCTTCCCCCGCCAAAAAACAAAAACACTCACCCATAAACTATTTTTTCAATTTTGGTCAATTTTGCACTTCGAAATTTTGCATAGCTCAAATTGGATCATAATAATCTCTGAATTTGGCGCAAAAATGTGACGTTCAAAAAATTCAAAATTTTCGAAAAATATATTAATTTTTGTCAGGAGGAGAAATTTCAAATTTTTCGGCACAAAGTACGCAAAATTCTAATGGTGCAAGAAAGTTTCAATTTGATTAAAATCTGAGGAAAAAATGAATTTTCAAATTTTCTTAAGTCATAACTTTTTTCTAAAACATTTTTCTAAAACATCGGCTGTTACCGTTTTTTATCGACTGCCATATTATACCTATATCTCAGCATGGCTTTAACTATTGACTCAGGTGATCCGGTGGAAATTATTTACCTCGATTTTGATTGAAAAGGTCGGAGTGGGGGGTAAACTCCTAGAGTGAATAGCCTTAAGCCCCCGGCCGTTCAGAGTTCGAATTGGTAACGCTTTTTCACTGCGACAAAACATGCCTAGTGGTGTTGCCCAGGGATCGGTGCTGGGACCAGTGCTATTCTTAGTGTATACCGTGGATTTGCTCTCCAGCATCGATTCTCATGTGAGCGCTTATGCTGATGACACTAAATTATTTGAAAATCCTTCAACACATGAGGACGTATTACAGAGAGACTTGAATACTATTTCCAAGTGGTGTTCAACTTAGCTACTGCCGCTGAATGCTCAAAAGTGCTCTGTGCTGCATGTTAGCAAGAACCAACCCAGGTTTGAACTATTATATGAATGGAAACTTTGTGTCAAGTTAATCTAATTATTTATATCCAAAATATTGGGTTGATATTCCTAATAATAAAAAAAAATAAAAATAAATAAAATCCTAACTCTAATTATGACCTTCCAAAAATTCGAATTCCCAATTATTGTACTGCTAAAACCTCTGAATTTTGAGGAATCAACATGAAATTTTGCGCATTTTCTAAGCAAATTCAAACGTTTTGGTTTTGGTTGCAAACGGGTGGAATTTTGAAATATTTCAGAAATATTTATGGCACTAAAGTGCACCGGTGTGAATCGATTTTCCACCAACACGTAACGTTTGCCTTTCGTACTGATTACTATGCCCGCGTGTAGATGTCGCCGCACCGCGTGTAGTTTGTATTTTCGCGCCCGCTTCACATCACCATGGCAACCATTTGATTTTCACCCACATGACTAACTCCGATGTCAAAACAGTGCAAGCGAAACCTGGTGGTATTTGGTCGATACTGCTACACTCGTTGCGTTAAAATTTGATGGACAAAGGAACGTGCCATGTCGGCTAGCGAGGGTTTGTACGTGCCCAAAAGAAAACACGTCACTGTGCCCGTGCACAGATCAGAGAGGGAAAAAAAGAACGACGACTCTCGCAACAAGAAGACATATTCTGCCAATTTTTCTTCCAGAAGACACAAGGCAAATCCCAAACAGAACGACGGAGTGATTCCGGAACGCGAGACTCCCAAACGCACTTGCAGAAAAACATTGAGTAAAGAAGTAGAAAGACTTAACCAAGAGAACCAGGACTTGACCGCGAAGTTCAACGAACTGGAAGACCTTTCAGTCAAGAGGATACTGAAGCTCAAAGAAAAGGTAACCACGTTGCAGAATATCAATGCGGAAATCGCGAACGAAACCCATGTGATCAGAAGGCAGTACCAGGAGTTGCTGGAAAAGTGCGAGGATGCGAAGAGTGGGGCTGAAGTCAGTAAGGCGTGCGAGAACTGTCAGGAACTTGGGAAGATAATTGATAAACTTAGTGCGGAAAATGAAGAGTGCAGGTTGAACAATAAGGAACTCAATGAGGATTTGAATATGTTGAAAACCGTCGTCTACAGGTACATAATTTATTTTCGTCTTATTTTTCATATAATTCTATTTTTTTTTACCTAAATATTTCACTTGTTTCACCATTATATATTATTTATAATAACAATAGTAATAATAAAAAGTCTCTATTAGTTAACCAGATAAGTTCGGGCGGACATCCAGCTTCGTTGCTTTTATGCGGCCCCTTAAACAATATAGGAAAATAATGAAAAAAAATGCTTTTATAACGGATTTACAAAATTGTGTTGCGGACAATTTGTTGCCTGTGTTGCCAATCGGGCCAATCTTTTTGACCAAATTGAATAGCCGAATAAAATTCTAACAGATTCATAAAAATTAAATAATAATAACATTAATAAATAGTAACTAGTGCCGCCATCTTCAGGGTGAGGTAGGAAACTTTTCAAATGACCTTCGCATAGTAAAACGAATAGAAAACTTTATGTACAATATGGAACGATAAGATAAGAAAAACATATTATTTTTAATTTGTTGCTAAAATAATTCATATTTAATCTTAAGAAAGATTAATAAAATGCCCAAATACATCGAAAAACCCGCCAGCAATTTTTGATATGATCAAAATAAACATATACCTTCAAAGAGGCGATTTAAGTGTAAGTTCATGCCAAAACAATTAAATTAATGACAAAATCAAAAATGACTTGTTTGCTCCCATATCCTTAGCCCAGCCCAAACGAAATTGTTTCAGTAAAAAATCATATTAAAAATATCTAATGAGGACAAACTTAATATTAACATTAACAGTTTGAAATTTTACGAACCTTCCTAAAACTGCATCCTCCTTTGACTTTGTTCTGCACTTAGTTTTTGAGTTTTCAGTTTTGAACGCACTGTGCAAAAAAATATTATATATATATATATATATATATATATATATATATATATATATATATATATATATATATATATATATATATATATATATATATATATATATATATATATATATATATATATATATATATGTATGTATAATGTAGCCAGGTGCAATCGGGCATCGCCGAATATATTTTTTTAAAATGTCGAAAAATTTTTTGGCGTCATTTTGGGCGGTATAAAAAAATTCATATCTCGAAAACTATTAAACCGATCGGCAAAAAGCCGTAAAACGCGGAAGGTCGAGAACTATGGGGTGTTTTTTTTCGATGTATAGAATTTTAAGTTGCAGTAAAACAACGATGGATTATTCGATTGACATGAATTTTATTTATTGTGTTTGTGGCATTACATTTTAAATATGATTTCTGGCATATGACCGCGACGGCTGGCGCGGATGTCGTCCAATCTGGACGTCCAATTTTCGATGACTTTTTCCAACATTCAAGCATTTGTGGCTTATCCGCATAGACCAATGACTGTACATAGCCCCACAGAAAATAGTCTAGCGGTGTTAAATCACAAGATCTTAGAGGCCAATTCACAGGTCCAAAACGTGCAATTAGGCGGTCACCAAACGTGTCTTTCAATACATCGATTGTGGCACGAGCTGCGTGACATGTTGCGCCGTCTTGTTGAAACCACATGTCCTGGACGTCATGGTTATTCAATTCAGGAATGAAAGAGATAGTAATCACAGCTCTATACCGATCACCATTGACTGTAACGTTCTGGCCATCATCGTTTTTGGAGAAGTACGGTCAGCTTTTCTGGATGTAACGGTGTTTCGCTCCAAATGCGGCAGTTTTGTTCGTTGACGTAGCCATTCAACCAGAAGTGCGCTTCATCGCTAAACAAAATTCGCTTATGAAAATCGAGAACAACGGCAATCTCGTTTTGGGCCCATTCAACGAATCTACGCCTTACTTGATGATCGTTTGGCTTCAATTCTTGCACGAGTTCGATTTTGTAAGCACGTAAACCAAGATCCTTCCGCAAAATCTTCCATAAAGTGGATAGACACAGATCCAATTCCTGTGCTCGATGGGTCTTCGGGTCTTCCTCAATGCTACGCTCCACAGCAGCAATAGCTTCTTCTCTACGCACCGTACAGAAGAAACTGGGGATGCGAGTTATCAATAAGAGTAAACGTGGTGCGAAGACGTTCCATGGTTAATCGAATTAACTGCTCTGATGGACGATTTTGTCGACGATAAAATGGACGTAGTGCGCGATACGTATTCCGCACAGAACCATTATTTTCGAAATAAAAATGCACTATTTGCAAGGGTTGTTCAGACAGTTTGGCAATTCATGATGAATTGCCAAACCAAACTGAGAATAAATTACTTGACAGCTGTCTTGAACAGTAATCCCAACTTAAAGTTCTATACAGCGAAAAAAAATCCCATTACAACTTTTATTTCAGGTATTGTTTCGATTATGTACAGGGTTTGTCAATTGTGAACAAAAATCTAAAAGACCATGAAAATTGTTTCTTTTTTGTAATAAATTATTAACCGTAAATCAAAATTCGTGAAAAATATGGTTTAAACGCGGTTATATAGCACATCAAGAGCTAGAATTTTTATCTTTACGATTTTCGTCTATCACATACGCCATTCGAGATATTTGAAAAAATCCAAATGAAAATCACCATTTCTCGTCGTCAATCGAGACGCGATGGCATCATTGATTATTACGGCGTACTGCATTCTTTTCTGGAAAACTGTTTACCCTATTGAAAGAAATCATATAGCGGGAAACGTGGGAGATCTTTAACTCTGGAATTTTTTTGGATTATTTACAGGGTGTGTCGATTATGGGTGAAAAAAACAAAAAAAAATCCTGGAAATTGACGTTTGCGTTGGTTAAATTATTAGCCGTAAATGAAAAACTATAAAACATAAGATTATCTGGTTTAAGCAGTATCGTGAATTGTGTCGATAGAGACTGTCAAGCTTCGTCTATCATACAGGGTTCGCGAGATAGTTAAAAGAATACCATTTGCAATCGCTATTATTTGTGCAAATTATTACATTTATCAAAGTTTATACAGGGTGCATGCACAATAAAGTTACATCGGTTTGGCTAAAGTTCCATAGTGGTCCGCAGGAGCACGATAGAAGAACAATGTCTCTCTCTATTACAAGAAACTGTGAATCGGTTTCTTTTCAAAATAAAATGCTGCTTCGCGCTACGCGCTACGCGCTACGAACTTGCCAAACCCAGCGACGATTTTTCGAAAGCAATCTTGTTTTTTTTTTTATTACATCGTCTATAACCAAGTTAAAAAGTAGCGGACGCAAAACGCTCTGCTTAAAGCCCTCATTTACTGTAAAGTATGCTGATTGCTGATTAGTCTTCTTTTAACGCCTTGCTCTATCAAACTCTCCCTCACCGCATATTTTGGACGTTTGTCAAAAGCTTTCTCTTGGTCTAGGAAACCTGGATAGATGTCAGTATAGCCGCTTTGTACACCGTATGCCAAATAAAACGATCATTAGGTCACTTGTTGGCAATATTAGGTATTTTTTAAGTAGCACAGACACGATACTACTACTAAATAAAACACATGACCTCAATTTCTGTCTAAACTATGCAAAATTCGAATAGAAATTTTTTAAGAAAGTGACCTTTATTTTAACCAAGGATTCGAAAAATTTCGATATATACAAGGTGTTCTATTTGCCATAACAAAGTTAATATCGGAGGGCACACTTTTGCGACACCCTGTATCAATAAGATTATAATATATTAGATCACTTTTGTACGAAATTTTTTTTCGTACCTCCTATGGGTTTCCAGACCGTATAGTGGGTCATTTTATTTGGCACACGGTGTACCTCTTCCATAATTTGCTTGATACTGAAGATGTGGTCGTGTATGGTACTTCCTTTCCTAAATCCGTTTTGACTTTGCTCCTGTGGAAGTTTTTCTTGTTGTATTTTGTTAAATTGAGCTGGAAAATAAAGAATTATATATTTATTATTAATTTATGTTTTTAACGTGAACTTGTTAGAAGCGACCACCGTTTTTATACCTTCCACGTTTCAATTGTTTCAGGCTCAACCTCCAATTGGAACGTTACCAAGACAAACTCAGACTGCACAACCTCCACGTCGATAATCTACGCCAAAATTTGAAAACGTCTCAGTCGAGAGAAGGCGAAACCGTAACCATCCTCTCTTCGGATCACATCAATCACAGACACACGCCCATCGCGTGGGGAAACGTCAACAGACATACCCTGGGACCACTTTTGGACGCTTACCAAGACGCCATTAGCGAAAAGGAGGAGATCATACAAAGCTACGAAACGGAAATGTCTCGGTTTACCGGCAAACTGAAGGAGATCATCGAGGAGAACGAAACGCTCTACAAGAAACTTACAGAGGACGAACGATGTAGCGCAAAGTTGGCCGCGCAATTGGAACGCTTAAAAGCTGAACTGAAGGGGCTCAAGGATCAAAACGATGCTCTGATTAAAAAGTGCGCCATCAAGCAGGACAAAATCGAGGAGATTTTGAAAGTGTACGAGAATAAAGGTGCCTATAGATCCCCCGGAGCAATAAGATTTTTGAAAACAAAATCCTAATTTTTTCTAGATATTCCAGTCGCCATCTCCGAATTCTAAAAAATTTTTTTAGAACTTGCCTTTTGCAATTTTTTTCAATCTAAAACCCATGTGTTGAATACACTTCCATAAGGTCGTTCTGCCACATTTAACACCGGTTTGCGCCGTATTATATTTTAATCACTTTCATCTACACACAATCACTTTCCTCGCTGGAATGGGATTATTCACAATTGTCCGTACAGTTGACGTTGGAATTTTCGTCAATGTGGCCGTTTCTTCTAAAGATGTTTGCTTGCTGGCACCAAATTCAACGAGGGTCAAATAAACATTGTTTATAACTTCCTTCGTCTCAATAGAATAGTGTTTTCTACATCTGGGCGGGAGCATCTCCTGCGATACACTAGACTCGCATATTAGAATTAGCATTAGAATGATTACTAATAAAATTATTTTCTATTACGGACCACAATTTTACCTAAATTTAAATTCCGAAACTTTAGGTAATAATCTTGTTGCATTGTATGTTAATAACCACCGTTGGATTCATTCAAAAGCAATTGGTCACTTTCTTATATCTATGAACAGACCATACCTACGCCCTCCCATGGCCTTGAAGGTCTAATCATTGTCCCAACCAGGCAGCAAAACTATTTGGATAACATTTTTATAAATTTTGATTATCAGAATGAGGTAGATGTCATTGATACTCGTTTGTCTGACCACTGTGCAGTTACGTGTAAGATTTACTGCCCAACAAATTCAACTGACAGGGTGCAGACTGTTTGTCATAGGCCCGTAACTCGGGTTGGTTTAAACGATCTATATTCGTGCAAAATTAACTGCGCTTTTTCTCTCAAGAATAAAATAGTTAAAAATAACAAATTAAACATCGAATAGTATACCGACGAATTACAAGGGATGCGGGATTAGCTAAACTTTATCCAGGATATCAAAAAACAAAATCCTAAATTTCCCGATATCGAAAATATAAAAAAATCTGATAGGCCTGCTTACAGGGAGAAAATAAAATTAAGTCTGCTAACTCGTTCTACGTAAATAAAAGCAATAACACTTCTAAGGCAGCATGGGAGATCATTAATAGGAAACGCAGGAGTGGATCAAATTTTCCTTCACTGGGTATCACTCCCCACAATTTTAATTAATATTTTTCAAACGTCGCAAATAAATTAACTTCAAATATCGCCAATTCTTACGACCCAATTGAGTCTATGAGGGCGCATACATATAGGCGTTTTTCTTTCCGTCAAGTCTCATATATTGAAATGAGAGACATCCTGACCAGTTTTAAGTGTAATGATAGTAAAGACATATATGAAATAAATATCAATTGACTAAGCTGACGAACAGGTGTATATCCGAGGGTATTTTTCCCAACTCCTTGAAGTTGTCCATGGTGATTCCAGTTTTTAAGAATGGCGATATAAATGATATAAATAGTTATCGTCCAATCGGTAAAATTATTGAAAACATTCTATATTCTCAATTAGCAACTTACTTCTAGGACAACCGTTTGTTGTCTCCGGCCCAGTTTCGGTTTAGACATGGTAAATCGACTTGTGGAGCGATTAGTAGAGTTCTTGATCGGGTTTACGCAGATTTTGAAAGCAGAGAGTACTCCGGCTCAGTCCTATGCGATCTTTCGATAGCGTTTGACTGTGTCCGGCATCCTGTTCCTCTGAATAAATTGCAGAGGTATGGTGTGGATCCCTCATTGGTCGGATTCCTTCAAAGTTATCTTTCCAACAGGAGCCAGATCGTGGTCCTGAATGGAAAATCATCACAAATTAGAGTTGTTGAACATGGAGTACCCCAAGGTTCCATTACGGGCCCTTTTCTATTCTTGATCTATACAAACGATCTCTCTGAGCACATTGCTGACATAGTTTGTATATCGTTCGCTGATGATACTACCTTTTCTTGTTGAAGTCATTCTGAGAACGGCTTGGTCCACAGGATGGAGGGGCACAGTCCGGGGCTAGTGGGAGCGTTTGACTGTGTCCGGCATCCTGTCCTGTCCGTCCGTGTCGTATGCTTTTTCAAGATCTACCAAATGGGTAGTTAAGTTGTAGGCTCTACGTTTTTCCATTACTTGTCGCAAGACAAATATATTATCTACACAGGATTTTCCCGTTATGCCTCTGTAATTATGACACAGCTTTTTATCTCCTTTTTTATAAATAGGACTAATATATCCTAAATTCCAGTCCTCGGGTATTTGATCTCCGTGTATACATTTATTGAATAGTTCTTCTAATAGTTGTAGTAATATATCTGGTGAATTCTTTATTAGCTCTATGGGCATGTCTCCGAATCCAGCGGCTTTCTTATTTTTCGATTCCTTTAGGGCTCTTTTAATTTCAGTTATTGTACTTTTATGTACATAATGTTTATGTCTACATCGTTCATTTGGAGTTCTGGACTATTTTCAGCTAGTAGCTTTCCCACCTCAATTCTGTTAAATTTACTAGTTTCTTTTTTTTTAGATTCTTTATTATTTTCCACGCTTCCGATACTCTTGTGATGCCCATGAATCTACCTACTTCTTCGCATGTCTTTTCCCAGCAATATCAGTCTAAATAAATAAAATATAGGGAAAATAAAGAAATATGTTCTACATATAGTGCCCTCTGGTGACAGATTTCTGAAACAATTTTATTTTGTAGCGATGACTTTTTCTTAATCAGGGCTATGTGTAAAATACCAGCTTATTCCGTTGTAGTGTCTTATTAATGAAACGAAAAACATTTTTAATTTTGATTAAATTTTGATGCTTTGCAATTGTAGTGAATTTTTTTCTGGTTTTCAATTTTACAGCAATGATTTGCATGAATGTTATCAAAATGCCTGCTTAAATAGAAACAGTTAGAACGGAGTCACCCATACAAGACGATAATAATCGCTCGTTTCAGTGGAACAAATGAAGAGAGATTACAAGGTGGTCCACGAGGAGTACATAAAAATGCGTACGGAAAACGCGTCGCTAAAAGAGAGGAACAAGTCGCTGGTCGATCACCAAGACGACTTCAAGAGCGAACGGCAAAATTATATCCCGATATCGGTTCACACGGCTAGTGTAAGCGAGTGCAAACGGTGCGAACGAATTTCCCTTTTAATTGTAATTTTCAATGATTTGATTTCAGGTTATATGAGGAACTAAAGGGCCAGTACGAAGCCGAGATGTCTAAACTCAAAGCAAACGTCGAGGCTAAGGAGAAGTCGATCGCCGAACTTAATGCCGCGATGGCGTCGATCAAAAAACAGAAAGAAAGTTTGGAGTCGAAAGTCGCAAAGCTCGAGAAGGAACTTAAGTGAGTGTTTATAATTAACACAACTGGTGACCAATCTAGTGACTCTACCTATTTTTTAATTACTAATAAATACTCGAAAGCGGGCAATTTAAAAATAATATCAGGTACTGGAATTCTTGGAAGGTATTGAAAAAAAATGTAATAAACACAGACAGTGTTTCAACAGTTCTGGTCTAATGGGTGACGGCCTTAATAGAGATTTTAACCGGATGGACTTGGATGCAGTGACTAACAAAACCCCTGAGGATATGGTCAACGTGTTCTACGATATTTACGTTCCATTAAAGATGTTTTCGGCTAAGAAGTTTCCAGTTTGATTTTCTCCAGACCGTGAAGATACAATAATCACCGGTATATATACAGGCTATAAGAGATTTTCAGACATAAGGGCTAAATGTAAATTTTGAAGAGTGCAGTGTTACCAGAAATATATATCTCTGACTGAAGTTCGTTGACAGTTCCATGGGTTGTGCACGTTGGCAACGTGGCCTGTTCTGTGGGTGAGGATATTGTCAGGGACTGTGAACACCTGAAAATTTTGATTTCATCTATTTACGAGAAACTGTCGACTATACATAAAAACAACAAAGGACCCTATTTTTTAGACCACTTTAACCAATCTTTAAAAACAGGAACTTTTCCAACTTACTGGAAATTAAGCTTCATTACCTCTATCCTAAGATCCAACGATAACTCGCAGGTCAATAATTATAGGCCCATCAGTATCCTGATCTGTATTCCTAAAGTGTTCGAAAGTTTAGGCTGTCTAACTATATATCTGCTAGCCTAAAAGGGTGCTTTATCGACGATTTCTCGCCCATCCCTCCACCGAGTTAAATTTGCTTACATTTACAGATTTTCTGCTGGAACATTTGGGAGAGGGGTCTCACATTTATGCCATTTACACAGACTTTTATATAAATCTTATTAATTTAATAAAAAAAATTGCGAAACATTGGAATCCAGGGACGGTTTACATCGTACCTTGCCGAAATAGTGCAAATTGTGCGCGTCCAGACTTCCCATCCACCGAAATTAAATTTTCTTCTGGTGTTCCGCAAGGATCATATGTGAGATCCCTACTCTTCAATGTCTATGTTTTCTCGTGCATTTTTTCTATTATTTGCTGACGACCTAAAATTCTCTATGAGAGTCCAAAATGGGGATGACCGTATAAAACTCCCATCCGATTTAGAGCACTTATCACTATGGTGCGATTTTAATAAATGCCAACTACTGAACTTCAACCGGAGTTGAAGTTTTAACATAAAACATAACACAAAAGGGTCACCGTTATTGCAGGCCTCCGTAATAAGGGATCTTGGAGTGTTACTCGATATTAAATTGACTTGCACCCACCACCACCAATATAATGTAATAATATAAATGAAAAATACTGTAAATATAATATAATATCAATATTAATAATTTGGGAAACCAATGTTTGTCATACTAGAGTTGGGTCTTTAAATATCTATTTCATTCTGTTTTATTTTTGTTTTATTTAATTTTTTTTTACTATTTTGTTTTGTGAATCTTATTTTATATTGGGCGGTTGGCCCAATAAATAAATAGATAATAATAATAATTCTTGGGTCCACTTTAAAAAGAAAATTTCATATGTCCTAGGTGTCTTAACTTTTGCTATACAGGATAGTAATATTTTCAAAAATAAAATATACGCCACTAATTTCTCCCAAAATAACGACGTCCGGTTATTGTTCAAAAAAATAAAAACCCTTTCTGTGCATTAATATTAATAGTTTTTTACAAACTTGTCTTTTAATAAATAAATTAATGACAACTTTTTTGAAAAAACTACTACATAAACTACATAAGTTGTCGAAAGTGTCCCCCACCTTGAAGGATACACGCTTCAGTTCTTTTACTCATATTGCCGCGCACTCTTTGAAGTATACCTCCAACGTTTCTTATTAAATGGCAGGAAGCTCTTATACGATCCTCCAGCTCTTCTACAATGTATAAGTAAAATTATGAATTATTTAAATCGGGAACCTGGGGTTGAGGTCCGGCGATAATTATGGATATTTAGACCTTCTGGCGGGAAAATGTGGCAAATTAAGTAATTTTCAACAAATCCATCCCAAACATTTTCCGTTCTTCATATTTAAATTCTACAACTGCATGGACCCAAATGTGGTTATTGTGGAAATTAGCTTAGCGAGCTTCATCTGTAAACACTATTTCTGGGCTAAGCAGGGGATAATACCCAATCAAAAACAATTGATAAAAATTAACACGGCAGGAAAAATCTGGACTGGAAGTCAATAGAATACAACAACCCTATCTTCACATATTTCATGGACCTAACAAAATAAATAAAATAATAAGAATCATAGAAGAACTCAATTACAACTGCCCCACTAAAATAAAACCTGAGGGAAATGTATCTGAAGAAATATAGGTAAATACAGGAATAAGACAACTTAAGTCGGTTTCTGTTTAACCTGATTATGGACAAAATCATAGAAAAAGTAAAAAGACGAGCAGGATACAAAATAGGAAACACAAATGTCTCGATTCTATGTTACGCGGACCATGCGGTACAGATATCTAATAGCGAAGACAGCCTACAAAGAATGTTACACATACTTAATAAAACCACAAAAGAATACAATATGGCAATATCAACAGAGAAAACTGAATGTCTAACAGTATCCAAGGAACCAATAAGATGTAAGCTGGAGATAGAAGGGACAATCATAAAGCAAGTAATGTCAAGATACTTAAGAATAGATGTAACAAGCCACCGAGATATTTACCAAGACACGATATACCAAGTAAAGAAAGCAGCAGCCACAGCAGGTGGATTAAGGGATATAATGTGGAGAAATAAACATCTCGGAATAGAAACGAAAACAAGAATCTATAAAACATGTATAAGACCAATACTTACTTATGCCATAAAAACAATAGCCGATACATAGAAAACAAAACAAGCGCTAAGAACAACTGAAATGAAAACATTAAGATGCACAATAGGAAAGACTAGACGAGACCATGTAAGAAACGAAGATATCCGGCAACAATGTAATATTCAAGATGGGGACGAGAGAGAGGGAAGAAGAAACGAGAATGGAAGAGCACAGATCAGCAAAGATCACAAGAGATGGAAAACCCGAGGGGAAAAGATCAGGAGGAAGACCACAAAAAGATGACAAGATAGCTGGTCATCAGAATCACAAATAAGTTTAAAGATTACCCAGTAAACACAAGTCATTGGACTTAACATGGGAATGACAAGAGAAGAAGAAGAAGAATTTAAAACTGCTTCTTCAATTTCTGGAGTTCTTACAGTGTCGTACCAAATTTCATTAAAATATCTAAAGTGGTATAACAAATATTAAAAGCATATATTTTATTTTTGAAAATTTTACAACCCTGTAGCTCAAAAGTTTATTAGAAAACACCTTGTATACATATAACCGTTCTAGAATAATAAAAGTGAATCCTTAACATCATCTCTTAACATTAGCTGGGATTATTGGCTTGATAAGAAAAGCAGTCTTGTACACATTTGAATATTTTGCATAACGAACGACTGAAATCAAAGTCTTCTCTTGAATTTTGATTTTTTTTTTTTTTTTTTTTTTTTGAATTTTGAAATTGCATGCAAATCTCAAACAAGAATTTTGCACCTTTTGCAGTGAGTTTTTGCCTTCTGGAAGATAGTAAACTGTGATATATGTGTTATGACAGTTCTAGAGTATCGATTTAGTGATTTTCATTTCTTAAATGTCACACCCTGCAATAGAATTTACGAACATCACACTACAACTTGCAACTAATCTTCAATCAATCTTAATTAGTCGCTTTATTAATTAAATAAGTTTAAATTAACTAAGTAGACAATAAATAAAATATATTTTTTTTAAGTTTAGCTTTAGCATTAGCTAGCAACGTTTCGGTCCCTTATTAGTACATCCATTTTAATTTTTCCTTGCTATCTGCTACTATAATTAACAATGAAACTTTTTTTAATATCGCTTCCACAGTAGAAGTTGTGTTGGAAGTTATGCTGCTATGGTGAAGACAATTTCTTTTGTTTATGAATGTCCGCAGAGAGATTATTCCCTTAGAAGCTTGGGGATGATGTCACTTTTGCGTAAATGGAAGTATTTTAAACTACAAGACTAAATACTAAAAATGATACTATTTATAAAATTTAACATTAAAAACTTCGAGAAACATATCTCTATATGCAAGGTGCAATTCTTTTTTTATTCCATTGCCTTGCAGGAAATCCGAAGCTAAACAATTAGATCTGGAACACTCGATCAACGAAGTGCAATTGTCCAAGAGCGCTTGTCGTAAACAGTTGCACAAAGCGATGAACTTTGCGAAAGACATGGTGGCAGAACAGGAGGCCTTGATTAGGGCGTTAAATCAACGACAGCTGGAGAACAAAGCCGTCAAGAGTGTAGGCTCGGAGATGGCCGTAAAAATGGATTCGCTAAAGACCCAGCTGAAAGTAATTTACAGTAGTCTCGGCTACATTTTGTCTGCTAATTAGTTCGGTCGTTTCAGGACGTACAAAAAACGGCTTGGCAGGAGTTCACGACGGTGGAGCAGAAGATTCAAGAGCAGACCGAGATGATTGAGTCGCTGAAGGACTCTCATCAGAAAGAAATTGAAAAATTGCATAAGGTGATTGCGGGATACGAGCAGATGAAGGTGGTGTCTAGAGACGATCACGTTCCATTATCTCATTACCAATTGTTTAAGGATAAATATAAGTAATATTTACCTGAAATAATAAAAAATATCGAAATTTAATTATTTTTCATTTGTTCTGTTGGCATCTTTGGAGCTTAAATTGAAACTGGCTCGATTCTACTGCTTATACGAAGGCTGCCTTTTATATTTCGGGATTTTCTTAAACTGGTTCTGCCATCTGGCGACTAACGTTTTTATAGGGAAGTTTGACAGTTTGAGGTTAGGTTTACTCAGTTAGGTTTGGGTTTGTGTTTTTTATGATAAATTTAAAAAAATGTGGCTGTTTAAAATGGAACTTAATCGGGAGATGAATTTCGTGACGGTCGTCCAAAATCGATGGTTGTCCAAGAAAACATTGATGCAGTGCGGACACTGATTTTGCAGGATGGTCATGTGACCATGAGATTGAGGTATCTTTGAGCATTAGTGGGACCAGCGTACATACAATTTGGTCGAAGGAAATGCTAAAAAAATACAAACAGGTCTATGATATCGTGACAGTTGATGACTCATCAAACCTAAAAGTAAGCAGCAGGCGATTGTGTGCGTCTTTCAGAATGAGAAAAAGACCACAAAAGTTGTTCGTGCGCGAAGCACCTCGAAACAAATGGTAGCCTGTTTTTTCAGGTTCAAGTTGCAACTGTCTCTTTGGTGAAAGCGAAAACAGTCAATTCTGAATGGTACACAACCATTTGTTTGCCGAAAGTCTTCAAAGGAATTAGAAAAACCCACCGCCGAAGACGAATCCCCCTCCACGACGACAATGCTAGCTCTCACTGATCAGTGCAAACAAAGAACTTTTTGAACATTAAAAACGTTGATTTGATGAGCCGTACACCATATAGTCCTGATTTATCGCCTACTGACTTCTTTTTATTCCCATACATTAAGAATGAATTAGGTGGGCAACGATTTTTGACACCAGAAGAAGCGATTGATGCGTTTAAAAGGCATATTTTGGAGGTGCCCGACTCGATGTGGAAAAAGTGCTTTGATGATTTGTTTCATCGAATGCAAAAGTCTATTGATCATCAGGGTTACCTGACCTGAGTCGCAGTTAAGATTTTTTGGTTGCTTGTAAATTTTGTATAGATTCTCGAAAGTTTCACGGATAGAACCATGGATCACATGCAAGAGTTTTATCAGATAAAATTTAATGTCCTTTGTTGTGATTGTGTTCGGTAACTGCTGATGAGTTTATTTATCTTGTATTCTTTGCCGCATTTGCATGGAATGCTGTAAACTCCTGGTATCTTAAACACAATTTGAAGTAACCAAAATGTTGGATGGCCGAGTGTCCATAGTGGATATGCCCAATAGAAGCAAAGGTGAAGAAGAATCTATGTAAATAGATTTCGATAAATGTCTGCTATTACCACAGAGGCATATTTATGGCGGGGGCACTGTAATAGAATTATTTTTCTATCAAATCGGTAACCACCATCTTCTATCATCTACTTATTTTTTAATTCGCAAAAAACTATAAATATTTTCGTTGAGCATCCGGGTTATCTCTTGTAATGACTCAAACAGAAAACTTAGCTCAAACAATTTCCAGTTCACTAATATGGACGTTGTTGTGAAATGGTGAATGCGCCAGAACCAAAAAATAACAACGTTCACACCAAAAGGAAACCATTTGATATTTTCAAGCGAGACCGAATTTTCTAGCAACGTAAATATTTCGTCCGAATTAATTGATTTATATAAATTGATAATATAGCAATTAAAATCATCACATAATTTTTGAGTTTCACAAAAACTTTTTTCTGCAAGCTGTACGCCAACTCGTCAGAAACATAATTTGATTGAAATCACTGTAAGCTAAAATTGAGTTGCCGACGCGATACAAAATAGTTCCGACATTTCCCGCAGGCAAGCTAATTACAATTTTTCTTTAATTAACTTTCATGATCTAAGACACTTTAATCTATTTTTGTTTAACGAATAAATTATTACTGCAAATTATATACCGTAGTCCTAACGTTCACGTATTATCGAGGAAATAAATTGCATCTTTCCTATTTATAGATCAAATGGACAAGTCGGCTGCTCCAAACGCGTTTATTGGCGTAAACTGGTTTAAACCTACACTGATTTATGGCATCAAATAATTGTAAAAATGAAATCCTGTATTGGCTCTCCTACGTTCATCAGTGGCCGCACCTGCATGCATGTGTGCAGCAGAGTTAATAAAATAAAAGATTGTAAAGTTACTGTATTTAAATAAATTCCCAATCACGCACGTCAAGAAAAAACGTAATTTTTATAAAACATTACCTTGTCCAATTATTTTTAGAGCAAACTTTCGTTTTAAAAAGAGATATAGAAAGAAGAAGAATATTTTTGGTTGTAAAATTGAAAAAATAAAGTAAAATTATCATATTTCATTTAAACCGACCACATTGGACATTATTTGTTCATACGTTTGCGAATTATGAAATTAAGTTCTGTCGTTCTTATACGGGAAATGAACAATTGAGTATAAGGAGCAGAGTGGCGCAGTGGAAGCGTGCTGGGCCCATAACCCAGAGGTCCGTGGATCGAAACCACGCTCTGCTAAGTTTTTTTTTTATTCGTATCTATATTTCACAACTTGTCGCCTATTCCAATGTTGTTTTTGTATGTAAATAAGATTTTGAATATTTATCAAAGATGACTTTTGCGAATATTTTTTATTTAAGGATGAGTCGAAATTTGTTTGAGGTGGTATAATAGGAAATAACGTGGTAGGGACAAGTTTACTTAGACTTTTTAGAGCAAAGGTTGCAAAAATTGTTCAGAACTATTAGAAACTAAGTAAAAGTTATCCCCAGCGTAAAATGCTGTCCAAATTGTTTTTCAAAAGTTGCGCAATTCATAATTTTATTATTGTTGAAATTTATTTCTGCACAACATTTTGTATATAACACGCAACGAATGCGATCTGAGAGAATTATACTTATTTCGTCTCTGTAAGTTTTTCACGTTCAGGTTATAGTATTTATTTAATTTAATTTCGGACTGAATGCCCAATAAGATAATAAAATAATTAAATAGGAAGAGCATTAATAGGACTAATTAATTAAGTATAATACGCAAGGTGTTCCATTTGATTTTTTAAAAAAAATTTTTCATTTTCGCTCACACCAACTTCAAGACAAGCATAGGAAAAATGACTGTAATAATTTGCGAAATTGCTGGTATAATAATATTGCGGAAACAACGTCATAAATATGGGATATTAAATACAGGTCATTTGTGACAGAAAAATGGACTTGGAAAACACGCAGTATATTAATGTATACTAATGCCATAATATACAGAGGGTTTCATTTAAAGAATATGTTTGATTTCACGCATATTTATCAATCGGCCTGTATATTTTAAAATAATTTTAAATTGTTTCTTTTAGTATCATCTACAACTGTTTTATTTGACATTTTTCTCTAAAGTAAATAACAAACGAGATATATTACTTTCATATTTTAAGATAAAAAGTAAAAAAATATATCAAAATTACCCCCTGTTTTAAACAATGACTCACGCACTTAAGTATTTCGCATTAGTTTTGAATCAGTCTGTATAGCTACGTAATCAGTTAATAATGATTGTTTAGGCGCATTTGAATGAATCGTTATTATTTATTTATTTATTAGATCACTGTTCAACAGTATAAATCCAACTACGGAACAGAGACATAAGTAACAAATTAAAAAAAAAGCAAAACGACAGCAATATGCTAATACAACATAACATAAAACAAAGTAATTATATGCCATTCCTTAAAAAGCATGTTTTAACGTGACGTACAGAAGAAGATAATATATCAAGCTGGAAACTTGCCGAGTTGCACAGATATATCGATGGGAGAATACTTACAATAATAATAATAATAATAATAATAATAATAATAATAATAATAATAATAATAATAACAATAACAATCCACTTGTTCTGCAATGTTAAATTTACAATACAATAAAACACCAGTAAACCACATAAATTGCAAAAAAGGAGATGAAAGCAATTAAAATTGTCCCAAGTTCAACCCCTATAAAATAATATATAGCAACTATAGCAAAATAAGAAAATATATACGAGTATATAAAAATTAAAAAAAGGATAGAAAACTTTAGGACTGAACATGCAATTTGCTTGTTGGCTGAACATTTGTTGTCTTTTTTTTTTAAGTTTAATGCTGATAAGGCTTTTAAAGAGAGAGGAACTGCATTGTAAAGTTTATAAACGTTATAGGAGAAGCTTCTTTGAAAAAGAGACGTCCTGTGTGGTGATGGAGAGATAAGACCCCTAAATTTAAGATTCAATCTGTGAACACTGTCCGATATGTTATTTTATTTGTCAAGTGAGGAGGACTGTTATTAAAAATAATGTTGTGAAAAAATACCAACTAGGGTAGTCTACGCCTATTCTGCATATTCAACCACTTAGCATTCTGTAGTTTGTGTAAGACTGGATCACATTTTCTTATACCATAAATTAACCGCAAACAGTTTTTTCGTAGTCTCTCAATTCTATATGTGTCAATTTTATCTAGGCATGGGCCATATAAAATGACACAATAGTTGAAGTAACTTAACACTAGAGAATCGGTTAATTTAATCTTTTGAGCCTCAAAATCTGTGTTAATTCTTAGGCCAAGATTTTTTGCACAATTTGTAAACTGCAAAACTCTAGCACTTACTTTATGTTAAGTTCAGACACCAAACAATCCCTATTCTTTCCAAAGAGCATAAGAGATGATTTGCTTGGATTAATTATCAATCCAAGAAGTGCTGAAAAATCTGTTAGTTCTTTTGAATCTGCATTTATCAATTTTTGAGCCGTACACCAAGTACTGGGGTCAAATGAATCAAATACCTGGGTGTCGTCAGCATAAAAATAATGCCGTAACATTTTTTAATACACGATGCAAAATTGCTGGTGTAAATTGTAAATAAAAGTGGTCCGAGTTTGGAACCTTGCGGCACACAGCAACTAACAGTTTCGGTGTACAGATTCCAGCTTCCTTGAATGGACTTGGTAAAACGGACTCCATATAATATCACTATATTCCTATTATATATAAATAATATTAATAAAAATATTAAATAGAAGGGGGCCTAAATTGCTGCCTTGAGGAACACCGCCACATACTCTACAGACTTGAGTCCACCAAAAATTATTACACGGTTGTTATAATAATCATTTTTTGTGAACCCACCATGCGGTAGTGCAGCCCACGCCTATATCGACACGGCAGAGCCACATCCGTTGCATGCCTATCGGCAACATTGCAATTTAGCGACAGTTCGGCAACCAGCTAACTAGTCGGTGTGCGTTGGTAGTGGCGCGGCATCTTAAAAACAAAAGGTTCTTCCGGTCAACGGAATCGGACTGCAATTTTTACCCAACTCGTTTTTCTGAATGAAAGTGAATCAAAGCGCGGTTAAATCCGCGACGTCAGTGCGATTGTCACGGCCTCCGCGATCCGACCCCTTTCGTTTTAAGGTTATTGATTTTGTTCCTAACCTCCAAATCTCCCAGTGAATCACCCCGCCGAGGCAACCCTAGCGGTCGTGTGTTTTGTTTTTCGGTTGTGTTTAAATTAAAAGTTGACGAGCGAATTTCGCCAGGATTTCGAATAAAATCGCGAAAATTTATCTCGCGATAACGCACGCACTCTCTGATCGAACGTTTGCGCCGGTATTTTGTTTTTATTCCGAATTTAAGCCGTCTTAATTTACAAGTGTGACGATTCGACAGTTAGTGTTGGACGGTGGTTCTTTTTTTGTCGAAAAATGAGGTTCGTATTTTTATTTCAAGCCTTTTTGCAACGTGCGAAATCCGTTGGCGTGTATTTTTAGCCCGGCATGCGCCAAATATCTTTTGTTTACCGATACATTTTATCATTCCTCGAATTACAATGACTCCAATTTCACGTTACAATTTCGCTACAGTGTTGCGTTCTTATATTACCCGTATTACAAATATTCGCGTGTATGTTTTGGGTTTTGTTTCGATGACCTATTTCTGAGGAGGCACAAAAACAGCCTCCCATTTTTTTTTCTATTTCTGTTCCTTCTCGCATGAATTTATCAATTCTATCTCATTTATTTAACGGTTAAGGTTTAACATAACCTATGAATTGACATTCAAAACAGAAAACAGCTGATGTTCCTGGCGTACACCGTGTGTAAAACGATTTGGAAACCCACAGGAGAAATTTCGCACAAAAATTTCTTGGACTTTCCAAAAAATTTAAAATATTATAATTTTGTTGATACAGGATGTCCCAAAAGTGTACCCCCAACATCAACTTTGTTATTTTAAATGAAACACACTGTATATTTCGACATTTTGGTTAAAATAAAGGTTGCTTTCTTAAGAAATTCCTATTCGAATTTTGTAATAAAAATAAATAATTAAAGTTTATAGGCTAACTAACCAAGGTAACACATTTGAATAAATAAATCTATAAAAAAAAGTTAACTATAAATTCTTTGTTTATTCGGTCCATAAAGTGTAGTTAAAAATGTTCCTCTTAAAATGCTTGTTTCATCTGGCATCAAAACAACAAAGAAATATCAAACTATTTAAAAATGTAGTTGGCCATGACATCACAATCTTTTTTTTTTGAGGCATTAAGGTATAAACAAACTTTGACATTTCTGTTTGTTTTTGTTGTTTTTCATATTTCTATCTAAAAAAAATCATAGTTATCAAGTTTTTTGTTAGTATATATTCCATTGAACATAACAAAGTTGGTGTCGCTGGGGACACTTTTGGGACACCCTGTATCAATAAAATTATAATATTATAGATCACTTTTGTACGAAATTTTTTTCCTATCTCTTAATAGTTTCCAGATCAAATAGTTCTGTGAAAATGTGTGAAATGTATTGCGAAATCTGTGAAAGCAGGTTTTATCTGTGAAATCTCGGTGAAGTCATAATGTGTTTCTAGAATCTTGAGTTTTGAGCACTTTATTATAAAACTAATCAAACTTTGGTGGAGATATATGCTTCATTTGGATTTTTTATTGTCCGACACCATCGTTTGTTGAATTTACCAAAGTCACTTGGCGTTTTTCAGGTCATAAAATATGTTTTCTCTGTTAGTTTTCTATTTGCCTTCAAGTTTTTTTGGCGACAGAAAGTTAAGAATTATTTGACAAAATGTGTTAAACGTGCCCCTTTCTATGAAGAAAATACCTTAAAGTAACAATATTTGGAAAAAAAATATTCTGTAGAGCCAATAAACATAAAAGTTTGAAAGTTGTTTTAAAAGTAATTTTATGTGATTGTTTTTGCTATATTTGTGAGGAATACATACTAAAAACACAGCGACATGTCATGACCGATCTGGTTAAAACGGCTTATAAGCTATATTTTGGATTTTCTATCGATGAGCGAGATAAAAGTTGGTTGCCAAAAGTATGCTGCAATAGCTGCTCAAGAACGTTGAGAGGTTGGCTTGAAGAAAGTCACAAATCCATGCCGTTTTCACTGGCAATGATTTGGAGTGTGCCTCAAAATCATGAGAATGATTGTTATTTCTGCATGACATCTACACGAGGATTATCGAAAAAATATAGAGATAAGATTGTTTATCCGAACGTCCTATCTGCAAAGAGACCAATTCCTCGTGATAAAGACACTCCACCTCCAGTTCCAGTTAATGAGGAGGCTGAAAATAAAAATATTTCAGGTCTACAATCTCAATCGAGTTTTCTTTCTGGTAGTACATCTTCATCTTCATACACTTTATCTGGATCTTCATGTCCATCTACAGAACCTCATTTACTTGAACAAGGCGACTTAAATGATCTTGTTAGAGACTTGGACTTTCGAAATCTCAGGCAGAGGTACTCGGATCAAGGTTAAAACAGTGGAATCTATTGGCTAAGAATACCAGAGTTTCATACTTTCGTACGAGGCAAGAAAGTTTTACAAGTTACTTCTCCAAAGAAGATGATTTGGTATATTGTAACGATGCTGCAGGGCTTCTTCAAGAACTAAGTTTTCCAGAAGATTCTAGTGAATGGAGACTTTTTATTGATGCTTCAAAAATAAGCTTGAAAGCCGTTCTACTTCATAATGGTAATAAAAACCGATCTGTCCCCATTGCACATACTACAAGCATGAAAGAAAATTATGCAGACCTGGAGTTATTACTTGAGAAAATTAAATATTCTCAATACCTATGGAATATTTGTGCTGATTTAAAAGTTGTCGCTATACTGACTGGACTACAAGGAGGATACACAAAATTTTGCTGTTTTCTTTGTGAGTGGGATAGCCGCGCAAGAGACAAACATTACAAAATAAGAACCTGGCCATCAAGAAAAAGTTTGACTCCTGGGCTTAAAAATGTTTCTCGCCTTTAGATTTCTTTCCTGAAAATCTTTTAGCTGTATCAAATGAGCATGGTGAAAGGTTTCATCAGGATATAATGCAAATTGAAAAACGCCACAATGGAAAATGGTCAGCAGCAATGCTTGCTGATTTCTGTTGGTCAATTCATCGAGAAACTCCAATGGAATCTATGAAGAGGAAGAAAACTACTAAATAATTTGAATTATATCACTCCATAATGAAATAACTGACGATATTTATTAGTTTTGTTAATATAATTTAGGATTTTTTACTGTAAAACTCAAGCCGCCACATTTTTTTATTTCCTTATAATAATTTATACTTTAACAATATTGTTTTTTGATGAAATAAATATTAAATTAAAAACTTACGTGTGGTACTTATTTGTATATCCGATTCCGTGTTTAGAGCATAAAATAAGATGAATTTATGCATGAAAACAAGGAGAGAAAAAAAAAGAAGAAAAATTCTCTATGATAAGTTAGAAAACAATATAGGTGTGCCCCAGGGCAGCGTATTAGGACCTCTGGTTAGTTTTTATTCTGTATGTGACAAAATTTTGAAAAATTGTTTTGTCAACCTTTTCGCGGATGAACGTTTATTCATTCATTTTTAAAAATGCCCAATATCTATGATTTTTGAACAAAAAACGAAAATTATGCATACATAGTATGTATGCACATATGCATACATATGTATGTACATATTAAAATTTACTCTTTCATTGGAAAAAAGTCAGTTATTTGTGATTGACGACCGGATTTCTTATTTTGGTTTTCAACAAAAGCTTCAATTATTTGTGACTGACGACCGGATTTCTTATTTTGGTTTTCAACAAAAGCTTCAATTTTATTTAAACAATCATAGAGGGAATCGGTTGTGTATTCGCTGGTTTTCAAATAGAAGACAATCAACGAATTTTCAACCAATTCATTTGAAGGTGGTTGCTGAGGATCATCTTCCAATTCCTCCTCACTTTCGCGGTCATCTTCGATCTTTAACTCTACCGGTTCGGATCGGCAGGACTCGATAATATCTTCATCAGTATGAAACTCTGAAGTAACAATATCCTCATCCACATGTATAAAATCGTTGATGGTGCTACCTTCTGCTATGCCTCTAATATTTGTCCAAGCTTTAAACTCGGTTTCTATTTTCATTTCGTCTTCACTCTTTTCTTTCAGGCGTTCACTTAGGAAAATCAAGGGAATCTCATCTTCTTCTTCCCATTCAGAATACTGACCAAAACCGGCTTTTTTAAAACAATTGGAAATTGTTTCAGGCTTAACGTCGATATTCCGTGCGGTAGTTACGTCGTCGACACTATCCATTAGTGTAATGTTATTGTTTTTGTTTTCTTCGAAACGTTCCATTGAGGTGATGACTGAATGTTTATTTTTCAAAATTGTAGACACTGTACTTGCCGAAATCCCATACTTCACAGCTACATATTTATTTTTTGAGCCACTTTCCACTTCTTTTATAACCTTGAATTTTTGATCAACAGACAAAGCTTTTGAAGTGCGTTTTGATGACATATCAACAAATGCAAACCAAAAATGTCTTTAATATAATGTGTAAATTGAATAGGGGCAGTAGTTTTCACTTAGTATTAACTAGTAAGTCATACAAGTGAACTTAGCAAGCACAGAAACTGAACTGTTTGCATAGATACGTTAAAAAGACAGGTTAAGATGGGTCGTAATTAGGGGGTTCCCCGACAAAATGTTTCGTTCGAGTCATCAAGATATTCGAGTAATCAAGACAAACTAACACGCATTTCCTACTTTTGACGCTATTGCCAACCAATTTGGTTCGACTTATCAAAAATTCGGGTTATCGAAGTTCGACTGTATTTGCAAAAATTGGAAAAAAGATAGGTTTCTTGCGTAGACTTTCGCCTGAGCTTAGCCACTGCGGCAGACTTCCTGTTACTTTCGAAAAATTCTCGTATAACAATTTCGTGTCGCTAACGGTAGGTCCCATGGGATCGCCGTTGGTACAGAAATGATCATCGTCGAAAAAAAAAAAGAGTCCCCCTATTATGGAAAATTGGCGATAACTATAACCTATTGTACAGAGTGTTCGCGATATTCTGTTCAATATTAAAGAACGTGCCCTAAATTTGCAGCTACCGACTTCAGATTTGGCAGAGAAGTAGAAGTTCAGACCCACACTTAAAGTATTAAAGTTTTTTTTTTTATTTTTGATTTTTTTTTTGTGGTAATTTTGGCTTCCAGAAAAACATGTTTTTCTCCATAACCATTCACCCGATCGGCAAAATTCTTTAACTGGCGGACGCGAAGGATCCGGTGCTATAACATTTATTTCGAGCATTTTTTCGATTATATACAGGGTTTTTAAATTATAAGCAAAAATCAAAAAGACTTTGAAAATTGTTCTTTTCCACAGTAAACTATTAACCGCAAATCAAAAATCGTAAAAAATATGGCTAATGGGTTTAAACAGTGCTCGGGAAATTTAAATGAAAATCGCTATTCCTATTTTAGAAAAATTCTTGGACTAGGAAACGTGGAAAATCCAGGGCTATAATTTTTTCAAATATGTACAGGGCGTGTCGACTATGGTTAAAAAAAATTAAAAGACCCCGAAAATTGCCATTTTGGTTCATGAATTATTAGCCGTAATTGAAAAAGTATAAAACATGGGATAATTTGGTTTAAACAGTCTCGAATATTGTGTCGAGAGAGAGAGAGAGTTTCAGGTTTTGTCTATCATACAGGGTGCCCGGGATACTTGGAATAATATTATTGTAAATCGTTATTATTTGTACAATTTTTTATATTTTTCAAAGTTTGTTGTGACTTTGAACCTCGGCGATGAGTAAAAAGCGCTTTATACAGGGTGTATGCGCAATAAAATTACATCGCCCTACTAGCTTGCCCCACCCACCCACGATTTTTCGAAAGCATCCCCCTTACAAAATCATTTCATTCCTAGATCGTACAAACATTCTTATAATGTTAGGGGTAAAAATGATTTTGATATTCAGTTTGTTAAAACTCTTCAAATGCAAAATAGGCCCTTTAGTGATGGGCTTCGATTGTTCAATGCTCTGCCGACAGACAGAAAACTAACCAAAACTAACCAAAAATTTACCGAATGTAAAAAATGGTAAAATATTCTTATGTTAATATTAATGTTAGCGTGAATTAGTATTTGCTTTTATATAAATTTAATTTACTACGATTCATATAATCATGAATTGCTTAGGTCAATTGCAAGCGTAGTTTTGGTAATCTTTGCGCGTAATACCATGTATGCTAATGACAATAAACCATTTCATTTCATTTATGGACGTATTTTTACGTTTTCGATCACCCAGTAGCTCAGGAATGGAAAAATGACCGCAAGCTAGATATTTCGCAATGACGAAAAATTTCGGACACACTGTAGATAATATGTTGGTGTCGCCGTTAACTGTAATCTCTTATTCTAGGGCGGGTTGATTTGAAAAATGGATTTTGATAAGGACCCGACCCTACAAGAATGGACCAGGGAACAACCGCTGTCAGTGCTGGCGTTGGATAGTGCCGATAGGGCCGTTCTTCGTATAGCAGGTTAGTGATCTCTCTCGGCTACACTCTTTCGCGTTTCTTTATCCGTAAATAATAACACGCGTCAGTGATATGCAAGGCTGTGGAATCACGTGACCGTAAACCGTGACTTTGTATCCATGTGGAGGGAGTCGATATGGTGAAATATATATATGCCGGGTGGCCACTACGTAATGTACAGGGCGTTAGAGGTAACAGTTTTTGTAAACGGAGATTGCAACTTTTCCGTTTTTAAGATCGGTGGGGATCGTTAAAGATGACGGTGTTTGGTAAATATGTCCGACACGCGAGAAGAAGGTAATGATTAAATTAAGAAAAAATTAGTTGAATATACTAAACTTCTGGATTTCTCCTGCGTTGGTTGTTGCTGAGTCGAGCTTCCTAACGTTTCGCCAACCATCATGTTGGCTTCTTCAGAGCTTAGCTTATTTTAAATGTCAAAGGCAAAACCTCCTAAATCTAATTTTGCAAAGCCCGAACCCATTGCCTTAAAATCTAATCCCGACATCGTTATCCTAAAAGCGGATAAGGAAAATGCTTCGGTGGTCATGAACACAAATGAACATCAGGAAAAGATTGAAGATATTCTTTCAGACGGATCATATCGTCAATTTAAAAAAGATCCTACGTCATCTATGGAAGGCAACCTTAAATCTACTATTAAGGAGAATCTGGAACCAAATCTTCTCATCTTAACTGCAAAATGCTTTTCTGGAACATATTTCTCTTATAACTGGCCTCATGGTCAAGAATCCCTAGTAGATTTTCTTAGACATTTAAACTCTATACACCCTAACCTACGTGTTACCATTGAATTAGAAACTAATAATAACCTCCGATTCTTATCAACAGAAAATCAAACCTAACATTGGGTCATGGTGTTTACAGAAAACCTACGCACACAGACCTATGGATTAATGCATTGTCGCATCACCATCCGGCCCAAAAAGCATCGGTTATCAACTCTCTGGTTTCCAGAACCCGAGTCACTGAACCCAGTATTGATACACCTTACCATCTCTCTAATAAATTCCACATGAAATATATATAGCAATGAGGCCGCAAGCAATCCTATACTTGGCACTGTGCTCCTTCCTTACATTCAAAACATTACCGACCACATATCAAAAATATAACGTCGGAACCAGATTTACCACTTGTCCAAATATCTGTCAACATCTTCGAACCGTCAAAGACAGAATTCCGTTTGAGATGCCAGGAGTTTACAGCATTCCATGCATATGCAGCAAAGATTACATTGGAGAGTATTATCAACTAGGCTCAAAGAACATGATAGAGCCTTAAGACTAAAACAATAGCAGTTGCGGAACACAATCACGAAACCGCACATAAAAAAATTTATTCTATAAAACTAAAATTCTTGCATGTAATCAATTTTTCTACCAACGAAAAGTACGAGAGTCTGTAGGAATCTATAAGTAAACTAACAATCTTAACCGCGACTCATGTTTTTAAATCCCACCAATATGTTTATGTCTCTTATTTAGCAATATAAAAGCAGATACAGAGTAAAATGCGAGCTAGTTTTAGTCTTAGCTAGTTTTAGTCAAGCTCTGAAAACCGACTCAGGAAGAATCCAGAAGTATTGTAAAAAGTAAAATGTGAAACTTTTTGTAAACAGGGGTCATAACTTCTCTGTTTCTAAGATTGGTAGGGGTATGTTAAGGATCACCGTTTTCGCTAAATATTTTCGACACGTGGGAAGGAGGTAATTGAATTAAACTTGGTCGAGTTGCTAAATTGGTTACACTTCGTTGAACGGATTTAAGTAGTACAAACTTAGGAGGGTGGAGAGGTCTAGCACAGCTGCTTTCCAAACCACCATAAATGTTCAATCATTGCATTATAAGATCAGCAATTTACTGCACGCGAGTACTAATCCTAACCTAAATATATTTCCAATTTGTTACTTCAATGACAGAATCGAGAAGGAAAGTAGGAAAAGTTAGCTTTAAGACGCTTTTTAAAACATGAACGGTCTATCAACCTTTGACGTCATCACAAATGGAATTGAAGCCCTTTGACGTAGCATTGAACTAACACTCATAGATATAGAAAGGATTTTTGAACTAAGTTGAGCCAATTAGACTGGTTGTAATGTGATCAAACATGCTGTATCGTCTGTCATTCGTTTGATCTTTATTGAGATCTGCATCCCAATACACTACGTTACAATAGGATAGATAATGAGAAATGATGAGAGCATAGTTAAATCGTAATTTAATCTCTGTAGTTTATAAATCCTTGAAAATATCCTTAGTTTCATTTAGCTCTTGTTAAGCTCATCTGAAGTAAGGAAGATCGTACAATCGATAACATTTGTATTTCTGTTGTTCAATAGAATGTTAAAATTATTATTTTTAGGCAAATTCACATTTTTAGCAAATAATAATATCATTGATTTTGTAACTTTTGAAATGAGTTGGATATCAGGATCAATTTGTCTATTGGTCCACTGCGGGTTTTGACATTTGAACGATAAATATACTTGCATGTCTGCAGCTGAATGATGGTATACACTAAAATCAAAAAGGGACTCTATATGCCCTCCTTGTACTTTCAGAAATAGATGAAAATTTATAGCCAAAAGACACTCTGCGAAGTCGTCCAATCAACTAATTGAATTAAGTAAATAAAATTCAACCTTATTTTTTATTATAAATCCATAAACAGAATAACAGGGTGGTCCACTTAAATTGAACTGAGGTGACTTTTGCTTGATAAAAATCCATTTAACAAGATAAATAAGAACTAAAAGTTCAGATTTTCACGAAATTATATATATGTTGTTGTGAGAATTTAAGAGTAATAATCGATTTAATCTAATTGATCGTTAAGCAATACATTTGATTGTCTCTTTTTGTTAATCTCCATGGCTGCCAATAAATTAAATTTTCTACTTTTTGTAGTTGTATGTAAAATATCAAAATTGTCGTCAAAAACATGTTTTTCTGTGTTTAAGTGTGTAGCATAATTAGAATCTAGACTATTGTTTTTAAATACTCTTTGATATTCGTTAATGTGTTTTTTGAAGAATCTACCTGTTTGCCCAACATAAATTTTAGGACATGATGTAATGTATGTAATTGTTTCAAATTGTTCGTGTTCTGTTGTCTGGATTTGTTTTTTATTTTTAATTTTATCGATAATGGACGGATTGTAGCTGTTGTTTAGTGCAATTTGTTTAATGGTATTAAATTCTTTGTTGTAATTTTCTGTTGAGAGTGGCGTATTAAGAAGTATGTGTACAAAAGAGTAAAATGTAGCCATTTTGTGAGCTGTTATGTATGACTGTGTCCGTGTTTATGGTATATGGAAAAATCTAATTTGTTTTGCGCTTTGGTAATAGTTAAGTCTAAAAAATTAATAGAGTCATCCTGTTCAATCTCGATAGCGAATTTTATACGATTATGTAATGAGTTAATGTAATTTAAAAAGAATTCAATTGTCTGTCCGTTCCAACAAAGCAAGCAAAGACATCATCCACGTATCTGTGAAACCATAGAAAACTTTTACTTAAAGGATGTTCTTGTATGATATTTTCAAATTATATACAAAAATCTCGGCTAAAAAAGGACCAAGTGGGTTTCCCATAATCGAACCTTCCTTAGAGATGTAAATCTGCCCATTAAATTGAAAATAATTTTGGTCTAAAGATACTATTAAGCAATCTAATAAATCTTGTTTCACCAATGGGTTAACCTGTTTCCAAGTGAGGGCGAAATCTACAAAATCTATCAAGTCCATAGGTGGAAAACTGGGAAATAAGTTTTGTACATCAAAAGAAAATAGTGTTGCTTTAGAAGGGATTTTGATATCTTTAATTTTGTTGATTAATTAATGAGAGTTTAACTGCTGGAGCCGTTACACGACTGATCTAATGGCCATATCTTGTTTATGTAATTTAACTACAGAATATAATTTCGGCAGTTGTGAATTCATAATTGTTAATAAACACTTTTCTTTATCACATTTCATCTTTTTATACCCAGACTTCTTACTACGCCACTCTCAAAAGAAATCCGTCCATTATCGATAAAATAATAAATAAAAAACAAATCCAGACTATAGTAAACTCTATACATAGGAGAACCCGGTGAAAAAGTTTGAAAACATTTGTCAAAATGTGTAGCTTTCAGAACTAACGACACAATAGGAAAATGTTCAAAAAACAGTAGAACGAAGTGTCCCAAATCTCAAAAATCAGGTGTCTACATGTTGAAATGCGTATCATCTCCTAAAATTTATATTGGATCAACAGGTAGAACCTTCAAGAAACGTATCGACGAACATAAAAGAAAAACACATTTTTGACGACATTTTTTATATTTTATACGCAGCCACAAAAATTAGAAAATTAAATTTATTGGAAGCCATGGAGATTAACAAAATGGGACATTCAAATGTATTGCTTAACGATAATTTAGATTTAAATACCTCACCATGATTAAACTTAAATTCTCACAACAACATTAATTAAGGTTTTATTGTCATTTTTCGGTACATATAGTAACAGGTAGTTTGTAAATATTACATTTGATAAAGACACGGTATGTCGAAACATTCGTCTGAACTTTTAGCTCATATTTATTTTAGTCCACTAAACTTCCAACAGTTTGTTCGAGCACCCTGTGGTTCTTAAATTACTTCCGTTAACGTTGCTGTTCGTTTTTTCTCTCTCCCTCCAGTGACTGTGTGGCCCCGATCATTAACCCAAGTGCACGACGGCTGACCCGAGTACTGACCTGCTTTGTTAAAAACGCGGTTATCGCTCTATGATGATCATCTTCGAGCTCTCGCCTTAGCATTTACCCGGTTTAATTTGAAAATAATGTAATCTCTTGTCTTTCGGGCCCGGTTTCCTGGTATCCGTAAGATTTTTAAGTCGATATATCGCGTTGCTTACGAAAACGGCGAAAAGTAGGGACGGCCTCAAATTAAAGATATAATACGACCAAAAATATAGTGCATTTATTGCTCTG